CTCGAGCCAATACGATATGTGTCAAATTAACAGCAGAGCCGCATCAGAAGCAGTCCATCTAATTTCTGTATGTAAAGCTTGTGTCTCCTTCCACAATGATAAGGGGGTATAGCTACACATAAGGACACATCAAAAGAATAAGAAGCATCCTCTGCGTAGGGGATACCCATGAAAGCATACAAGGTGATGGAGTTGACGCGACCGCTCGAGAGGAGTGAAGAAGCGGACGCGGACACGGACCCGATATTTTCCTTTGTTTTGATAAGAGTATCGTTTACAACATGGAGTTTACAAGGAATGGGGAGGTATTTCTTATACACTGACACTTCTGTCTCTTCTTTTTTCTAGCTGGGTGTACTTGATACTCCGGCTCAACTTGTCTATGCACAGCACAGACCTGATTCAATCTTGTTCATTAGTCAATCTTATTAGTTTTTTTAATGTTATCTCTGTTGCTATCAAGGTTCTTATAGTATTTATCATCTCAGTGCGTGCTCTGAAGGCTGTGCGGTGCTTTTTTGGTGTGACAGCTCCTATTTCGGAATAATTTCTGAAGATCTGCACTTTGTGATGCCAAGGTTGGTCGCCACATGCCTCATATGCTGTTATATCGGAACAATTACACTGGATGGAGCAAACATCTCACGATAACTCAACTATATCAACGGGACTTGTGCCCGACTCACATTTTCTCAAGCAGCTCCCTCTAAGGCTCCCACCCGACAATCTACAATCGCCTAGGGAGCTCTTCATTCGGGACATCCATTATTCAAGATGTCTCGGCCCAAAGAAACGAGTCATAAAGGCTCATGTGGCGGACGCTTGATCTAACCGAGTTTACTATGTGTCTGGTAATTGCTCATCTTTGTCATCTCCCCATACCTGGACTAACATGGATCCATTTGTAGGAATGGTTCGACCCCAATCATCTTTCTTCGCGGTCCACCGCCTGTTACAATAACTAGACCTGCAGACTCTGGTGTATGGGCTTCGTACATACAATCGTCAAGCTACAACCAGAGAGGATGTGCGGGTACCTTGACCTCGTCAACCTCATCCAAGGCATGCAGTTTTATTAATAATATTCCTTAACTAAGGTATTTAAGATTTTACTATAATTATATTATAAATTTTATAAGCTATAAATATTATATTTATTATAGTTATAGTTAAGGTCCTAGGATTTATAAAGTTTATATTTATAAAGGTTTTTTTATTCTATAAAAGCATATATATTTTTATTAATTCTTTTACTTTTATTATAAATAATTTTATTTTTACTAGTTTTTTTATTTAAAAGTTTTTTATAATTATATTCTATTTACTTATATTTTTTATATTATTTTTTAAGATATTCTTAAGCTAGTTTATCTTTTTCTTTAAAGAGTTTATATATAGCTTTTATATTTTTATATTATTTACTTTTATAATTATACTAGAATTCTTTTATAAATTTATAATTAAAGTATTTTTAATATTTATAATTTATATTTTAAAAATAATAAATATTATAATTATAAATATCTTATAACTTAAGGGTTTTAATCTTATATTTATATTATAGCTTATAAGTTTTATAATACTTATAGTTTTTATTCTAGTTTAAGTTTTTCTTTTTACTTAAGACTTAATTATAAAAATTAAAAATATTAATTCTTACTATTTTATAAGTTTTTTTAACTTATATTTTCTTTAAATAATATTTTAATTTATTTTTACTACTTTTATATATAAAGCATAAGTTATTATAGTAAGCTATTTAGCTTAAGTAGTTATATAAGACTTTTATAATAATATTTATCTAAATCTTATTTTTAATAATTTTAGATTTTTTTTTATTTTTTTTTATATAATAATAGCTTTTATTATAATTTTTCTTACTATAAAATCTATAAGTTATTTTAAATTAGTAATTTACTTTCTTATAGCCTTTTTTATTATAAATATTATAAATTCTATTAAACTTTCTATAGTTTAAGGTATTAATATTTATTTTTTTTAATTAAGTTTTATTATTTTTAATAATATAATTTTTTTATTTTTTTCCTTAGTTAGCCTAAGGTTAATATCTTATAATTTAGCTGTTTTTTTTATTTTTTTATTTCTACTTCTTTTCTTATTATTAATTATTAATTATAATAGCTTTTTAAATAAATATAATAAATATAATTTTTTATTAATTAATTTTATAAATTTTATTTTTAACTTTTAATTTTAAATTATAATAATATATCTTCTTTTTTAATTCCTTAGTTTAATTAATTTTACTAAGTAATTAAATAAAAGTTAAAGTATATTTATAATATAATTCTTTTTATTTAAGGTTTTAAAGTTTTTTTTTTACTTCTTAAGCTTTATTAATAATTCTAAAGGATTTTTTTAATTATTTTTTAAAGTTTTTATAACCCTTAAAGACTTTTTTTATAAGTTTACTTTACTAAGCTAAATTATTCTTTTTATCTTTAAAAAGTATCTTAAACTAATTAGCTATTATATTCTTAGTATATATTCTTATATATTAGATTTTTTTTTTTAAATTATTTTCTAGGAATATCTTTAAATAGTAATACTTAAAGTAAGTTTATAATTTATTAAGAAATTAGTAAAGTTTAATAGTATTTTTATTAAACTTTTTTAATTATTTAATTTTTAAAACTTTTCCTAGTTTTAATTTATTATTTATAAAAATAGCTAATACTATTATAAGTATTATAATAAGTGCTATCTAAGGGTTTACCCCTAGTAGGTTACTAAGTTATTACTATAAATTATTAATAGTTTATATATACTAAGTAATAGTTTATTAATCTATAAGGCGCTATATATATAAGTCTTAGATTATATATTTTATATTTTTTATATAAGTTCTAGTGCTTTATTTTTATTACTTATATTATTTATATTCTTATTTAAAAGCTTTTATTAAAGTATTTTACTAGTTATAAGTTATTTTTACTAATATATTTTTAAATTTAATATTACTATTTAACTAGTAATTACTTAAAGCTTAGCTCTTATAATTAATATTATATTCTAGGATATTAAAAGTTAATATTTATATTTTTTAATTTTATATTACTTATAAGGTCTAGTAATTATTTAAATAAGAGTTATTAATATATAATAAATTATACACTAGATAGTTAATATAAGGTAAATTCCTAAGGGATAAATCTAGTAAATAATTCTAGGTTTATATTAATAAAGTAGTTAAGAAACTTAATAAATAATATAAATAATAGTAAATAATATTACTAGATAATAAAAGTATAAAATATATTATAATCTTAATTTTATATTAATAACTAGCTATTTAAAATTATCTTTAAGTAAATATAAAAAGTATATATATATTTTATTATTTACTAATATTTACTTTTCTAAAGTAAATATCCTTTATATTAGGAATTTATTTACTAGTGTTTACTTTCTTAAAGTAAATATAATCTTAATTAGCTATATTACCTAAAGGTTTATCTATTATATATACCCTATAGGTTTATTTATTATAACTATAAGTTATTGGGTTATAATAGTAAGTATAAGAAGTGTATATATATCTTATTATTTATAAATATTTACTTTCTTAAAGTAAATATTTTTTTATATTAGGAATTTATTTATTAGTATTTACTTTCTTAAAGTAAATATAATTTTAATTAGCTATATTAGCTAAAGGTTTCTCTGTTATATATACCCTATAAGTTTATTTATTATAACTATAAGTTGTTAGGTTATAATAGTTATAATAGTCTAATATCCTAAGAATTACTTATATATATTAATTTAGTATATAAGACTACTAGCTAGTTATTAATTCTTTTTTAATTAGTAGTATACTTTAAGGTTATCCTAGGGTATATACTATATTATATTCCTTAAGAGTTTAGGTTATAATATATATATAGTAATATTAACTTATTTTTTTTAAATATACTTATAATAAGCTTATATCCTAGTATATAACAGCTTATTTTTTAAAAATAAATATTATAAGCTAAACTAGGAGAGGTTAATAGCTTTAAATTAGTATTATAAGTTATATTTTTAAAAAATAAAAGTATATACTTTTAATTTTATAGCCTTAGATACCTAAATATAACAGGCTTAACTTATCCTAGAAGATTATATAAAAGCTTCTATTATGGTTATAGCTTATCCAGCATTTACCTATTATAATCTTACACTTCCGCTCCGCCTATTGTTAAGTGATGTCCTGTTGGAAGCTATATAGTAAAGTATTCTTTATTTCTGTAATATTTTCTAAAATTATATACAGCTTCTTTACAGCAATAGGCGCTATGCGTAGCAAGAGTTCAGTATAAACAACTGTATCGTTTAGACTTAAACCCATTAATTGTTCCTTGGATGATATTTTTGATGCAGAGCCCGTTCTAAAAGTCGCGCGATCGAGAGATCTGGGCAGATCTGGAGAAGTCGAAGGACCTGCAAAGCTGTGTACCGCTCGCTGAAGCGTTGTTAAAGAAAGAGAAAAAACAAAAACGGAGGGGGAGGAAAAAAGAAATTGATTGGGGATTGGCAAAAAGTTCACCTATGGTACCGTAGGTTATGAAAACCCTGTTTATAGATTTTCTTGCACCTGGAATTGAACCTAGAATGCGCTTGCTTGTTTGTAAGGGTTGGGACACTAACCGCTTGGCTAATGCCCGACTTAGACTCATTTATAACTATTTATATAACCTATGTATAGCGCGAAATGAGCTCTGCTACTCGGATCAAGCTCGGCTTACCTTTTAGTTATAGACCTAAAAACGTCATAGAAACTAGTCACATGTAGAACACCTCCAGGAGGGAAGAAAGATTAAATTGGTTAATAGAGACATCCCCAAACCCTTGTGGAAGAGGGTCATTAATATTGTTGGGGTTAACTGCAGTTTCCGGTCCTGGAGTTGCAAAATGTTCTTCTAGTGACTGTCCACCCAGCCAGATTAGTGTGCTTTCAGCTCCAGAGTAGATGTCTTTCATATAGCGGACTTGATGTGTCTTCTCTTCCATATATTGTTGATTAATGCAAACGGCATCGATCCGGATGGTGTATTGATCGTACGGATGTCTTAAGTAGACGAGAATCTCATGTAGATGGCTTGTCACTAAAAATTCCTTGCCATCGACACTGCCACACAAGGCATATATTATTATATAATGGTTATGCTTCCGTGTGTTTTTCACTTATCCAATAAAAATACTTGCAATAGTAAGTACATTACTGCATGCAAAGCAAGGTAATTAAACAATATGTGGCGCCCTTACTCATGGCAGAGGGCGGTTGGTGCACCCACCTCGGACTGTAGCTTTGCAGCCAGAGTCACAAGCATGAACGATGGCTTGAGAAAAGGCGACTCAAGCTTGAGCAGCTAAAACACGCTGAAGCCGTGAATGACGGGGCAGCCAAGCATGGATAAGCCTTAATTCCTCCCTGCTCCATGCTAATCCCAGGCTGGTTAGGAGAACTTTGACGATACAATTGCTAGGGGCTTAAGGTGAACAAAGACGCTGAACAGGACATAGACAAGCATCCATCGCCACAGCCAGGAATCGAGCCGGCACAGGAAATGTTGACACGCAGGCGAGCATTGTGCAAAGTCTAACTGCCTAAGTGGATGAGCATTCTGGACAAAACTATGTAGGTGGTATTAACATTCGTTATTACATCACTGCCACTTAAATATATACATTGTAATTGGTTGATAGTTGACCAATCTTTCCAACCATGTAGGTATTGACACGCAGGCTTGCATTATGCAGAGTGTAAATGCCTAATTCGGTGAGCTTTGCGGACCATTAATTGGCTGAGAGACCATGCCTGCCTGATCATATCCACCCTAGGGTATGACGTATCCGATGTGGCATTACAGGCCTCATATCATTTGTATGTATCCAATCAGAGGTTCAAAAAAGTTTCTGAGGCGATACCATCAAAAATGGAATCTCGCAGGGCTTGGATTTCGGGGCTGAGGGCTGTGAACATCATCTTGTGGCTTTAGGTCATAGCAGCATGTGAACAAGCCTGACAATATCCAATCAAATCATGCCATGCTTCACTATCTATTGTTCATTTTTTGTTCTCACAATGTATGTGTTTTGTCTGAAAAGCCTTGCTTGTTCAATCCAGTGGAGATAATGCCCGTTGTTGATAGATAAATATCCAACGACGTTCCCCTCTTCTTTTTTGTTGTACTCTAGCAGACTATTCAAAGTCCAACTATTTTCCCGCTCTTTGACTTCATAACTTGTCTTCGAATCGTGGCCTGTCTCTATAATTAAGCAAGTGTCACATCAAAACTTATTCCTGGCCTTGACCCGCCACCCAAGATGACAACTCCTGGGACCATAAAAAACGATGGCTTACATATCAGCTCCCAACCCTCATTGAATGTTGTCTCTACAATTGAGACAAATGATTGCAACAGCTGCCCTTCGATTATTCTAGGTACCACTTCAACCTCAAGTTCCTCTCTAGCAGCGGTAGATACTCCTGCAAGCCCTAGCGTCTCATCAGATTCACCTATCAATGACGATACAGGTGTCTGCGGTGCCTACATTACCCCACCCCCAATTCGTCTTCCGGATCGTCAGTTTCAACTCACGTGGTCCAGCGCCGCTTAGGAGTGGGAAAACAGAAAACAAATGTATGATGAAAAATTTCGGTTCTGGACAAGCTTATGAATTCGTCTCACACACACAGGTCCTGTATTTCTTCTAGTATTGGTATTTCTCTCGTGTAGTGTTCCACTCCTTTTCTTAGTCTACTCCAGGCGCATCAGTGGCTTCATCAGACTCTTTTGGTTGAGGTGTAGGTGGGTCGTCTTCTTGATCTTCATTCTCTTCATCTTCATTCTCTTGAAGTTTATTGAGTTTCTTGTAGTGAAACCTGGCCATCATCCGCTGGGCGCTTTCTCTGGCAACAACGGCATCACCATGGCTCTTCTCGCAGCCTTCCAGGGCCACTTGAAGATCGCTCACAACTGCTTTAGCTGCTTCAATATCCCCAATCGCCGCTAGGGATTTAGCATCGATTGTGAGTTTATTAACGCAATCAGTCGAGTCCCTTACGGCCCTAGCTGCCGCCGTAGCTTTCTGTGCATCCTCCGTGACTCTTATGGCGAAATCTGATGTAAGCTCAGCCGTTTCATCATAGCGTATCTTCCCTTCAGGTGATTGCCTCGCTGCTTCTTCGTGATAGAAGCCTGCAAGTCCGACATAGTGGGAAGACAGGGCATCGCGCATCATTTTTGTTGCCAAGTGGTGAACCTGAAGCTCGCATCTCTCTGCCGCTGCGGCTTCATCCCTGGCCCAGGTCAAAAGCGACGAGGCACGTATCTTGGCCTTCTCAGCGTTGTCGGTGATCTCAGCTGCGACCTCTCGATGATGCTCCCGTACATACTGCCACGTTACGCAGAGAGAACTCCCAAGAAGCCACCACCCGGTCCACGGGTGAAAAGCGAGCCACAAGAGGGGGAAATGAGACCATGAGGGAATCCTTTGACGAAGGTTCACGTAGAGTATTATGTAGTTGCGATATCCATATCGCAAAGGGCCAGCTATATTTGTCGTAGCGCAGATAGTCCCTATTAGAGCCAGGATACCAAGGAATATCCATTGCAAATATGGACTGGAGAAGGCCTCAGTAACCCTAAAAGAGGACGCAACAAGCCATGCCGCCGGAATGATTATACCTAAGATTAAGTCAATGCATGTCGTGGTGGATAATATACTGCAGGGTAAAAAAACATACATTCGACAATGCCAGGCCTATAGCTCGAACTAAGTGTCGGAGAACCATAATATGTTCCTAGCGCCAAAAGTAGAGCTAGCCAGCAACTATTAGCCTCCTTACTTTACATAAGATGGATGCTACTTACATTGGACATGGGCTGGGTTGCTTATTTTGAAAGGCAAGATAGATTGACCTTGTTCAAGTGGCAAGATGGAATTGCCTCGTAGCAAGAAAAAGCCAAGTAAAAGAAACACAAATCCCGAACCTATGTAATGGTTAGAATTGCCTTGAGACGTTTCTGCATTTAACCTACTACTGCTATAAGCGGCTGCAAGTGCGCCATGTTTTGCTGTCGATTGAAAGAACAACAAAAATAAGAAGGCAATGAGTGTCCAATTCTGCTCTCCATCTATGAACTTGGCCGGTAGAAGATTTGTCGTGAGGGTAGGTTCAAAGAGAAGTGGGACAGCGGCGATAATAATAGCCCCTATGCTATGTGAATATAGGGTATTAAAGGATATTACGCGCAGTTACTTACAATAATGTTTGCCTTCACATACTAGCTCTTGTCGGAAAAGAGAGTAGTCTTTCAGCACAAATAGTACAGCCGCTACAAAAATAGCAGGAAAAGAATATGGTGAATCAAGCGAGGGAAGGAAAGTTAGACCTAATAACACAGCACCAAGGGCTTAAGAGACCACATAGTCAATTCTCTGCCATTCAAAGTATAACATATAGAGATAGCTTACGGAGGTGATTCGGTATAGAGGTGGCTGGATGGCATCTTGGACAGTCAGGATCGTCGCAAGGTTCTGTTGCCATGGTTGCTAAGCAATAGCGCTGGCCAGCTAAGGGTTATGGATATTGATGTCTATGATGCGCGGGCCCAGAGTGAAATTTAGGTTGTGTGTGAAAGATAAGAGTCAAAATGAAAAGCTAGGGTGCAGAGAGGATATTTAACCAAAACTGACCAGAGTTTCTCTATTATCACCTTGAAGTTATAGCTACCGCATGTGGTTATTTGTTGTAATTTCTTTTGATTTGAGAATTATTCAAGGCCTTAATGCCCAGCTTGAGCCGCACTTCGTTTATGCTTCCGTCCGCAGTAGCGTAGTCGATTTTAACCACACCCCTGGGCTTTTTATTTTATTTTTATTTTTTTTAGTTACCATGGCTTGACAACATGAAAACATGCTGTGGACATATCCCCATACTCTCAATGATTGCGAGGCTTAATTACAAATGTTGCCTGGCTACCAGAAGCCTGAACTCACCCCCTTCGCGTGCGCGACCCAAGGGCGTAACTAATTCTACTTTGCTTTTTTCCCACAGAAAGGCGCGGCTCAAAGGGACTTTTGTGTAGGTCCTCCATCTTCTATCTTGAACCAGCCAATGGCATCTTACGTCGGTTACTGCAATGATACAATAGCCTCGGTATTTTCCATCATATTTCAAAAGAGTGCTTGCGTGGCAATAACGCTAATGCATTGTCTGTGTCTCAAAAAAAGCCTTGCGTTGGGCTTATCAATTAACACGTTGCTGAAGAAAAGGTCGCCCTGCTCGGCGAATCAGGATACGTGTTCGGTGGCCATCTCGACTTCGGTGATGATGGAACCAACCATGAATCTACACGTTGTGGCACGGACGGACGTTGGGCGACAATGCATACATCGTTTAGCGTTGGTATAAATACAATCTACGTGCATGTAAGTGTACATATGTAGCATGCAGTGGGACCAATAGGCGCTAGTCATTGGAAAGCTGCAAAGCTACCTAATATCGAGTTCAAGATCTCGTGGAATGGCTGGTAGGCTTTGGCGGTGTAGGCAAAGTCGCTGCCAGCATAAAGCCCTGCCTCTGATAAAGATCAGCCTCTGAGGCCACTAGTACTCTCAGGGCCTTTTTGTGTGCTCAAGTGTGGACTGTTATATTACATAGGTAGGAAGAAGATTGGGCTGAATATCGATTGCACTTGTGGAAATTATAGCTGCAGGACTTGCTGCTTATAAAGCACTTGTGCGCAGGCTATTTATTGGTCAACAACTATCAAAATCAGAGAGTGTTTGTGAACCAATTCAACCCCATTGATAGCTGAGGCCTTGACCTCTCCAAATCGTCGACGTTGCTATCACATCCAGAGTCCACAAGGCAGCCAAGGTACAGATATAGATAGATAGGTTGGGTTGATTAGGCAGTCGGGCCGGCAAAAACCTTTTCATTCACAAAGGCCAACTCTATCACGCTGGGCAATCTCACTCAAGGGTCGCTATTAACCTGAAAATGGCAACTGGAAAGTATGATATTCCTTTGCTTCCTGCGCGATAGTAGCCAAGCAATTGCTGATTATGCATTACCAAGAAGAACGTATGATGACTACACTATAGGATGGGTAGCCACTATACCTTCTGGGGTAGCCGCATTTCGGGCGTTGCTGGACGAAGAACACGAGTCGCTTCCACCACAAGATGATCTGGACGACAACAGCTATGTTCTTGGCCGGATGGGGGGCCGTAATGTTGTTTTGGCATATCCCGGAGAGTCCAAGAGTACCCTTGCTGCCGAAATTGTATCCAATATGGCCTATTCCTTTCCCAAAATTCAGCTGAGATTGATTGTGGGAGTAGGCGGTGGTGCTCCGCAGCCAGAACCCGATCCGAAGAAGGACATTCGACTTGGCGATGTTGTTGTTGGCTTTCCCAATGGGGAAAACAGTAAGCCTGATTGTTTCCATCGCCTAAATAGGTGCATACTAACGGTGAGATAGATTGCGTGGTGCAGTGGGAGAAGAGCACGGGGGAAGAGGGCAGTTTTGTGGTGACATGTCATCTTAATGGGCCTCCTCCAGTATTCATCGAGGCAATTGAAGAGCTGAAATCAGTCCATGCGGCTGAAAATGGCACCATGCAGCGATACATTGATGAAGCCATCCAGTCAAATTCCCCCGGCATGGAAACCTTCAAGTATCCGGGGCTCGAGAAGGATCGATTGTTCCGATCAGGCTACATACACAAGGCCGTGAAGCCAAAGAGTGCGGACGGTTGTGCGGCATGTGATAGGGAGAAAATCATTGAGCGAACAACAAGGGAACCATCGCATGTCATGGTTCATTACGGCCAGATCGCCTCTAGCAACAAAGCGATGAAGGCTTCTAAGAAGCGGGATTCTCTTAGAAAAGAGTGGGGGGTTCTCTGTTTCGAGATGGAGGCGGCCGGTCTCACGAATGACTTGCCGTTTCTTCTCATCAGGGGCATTTGTGACTATTCAGACAGTCACAAGAATAATGAATGGCGGCCCTTTGCCTCTCTCACGGCCGCCGCATACTCCAAGGATCTCTTGATGGTGCTTCCGTCGCAGGAGGACGGGGCTATGCCGCCCGCAGCAGGATCTGCTCGGGAGGAATCTCATGTGGGAAAGGGATTGGGTGGGGAAGAAGTATCTGAATCTAACAGAGGCTCTGAAACCGAGAAGGAAGCTGAGACAGAAAGAGATTCTGTGTCTGGAATGTCAGGAGGGAGCGGAGAATCTGGTTCTGAAGGAGAATGGAAAGCCAGAGATGAATCCAACACGACAGACGCAGGCATCAAAGCTGATGTAGCGTCCAGCTCTGGACGAGAAAAATCTGTGGGGGAACCAGAAGCTGCCAGAGGATCAAAAGCGCTGAAGGAGTCCAAAATGCTAGATACAACTGGAACAACGAAAGAGAACAAGGCGGACAAGTCTGAAATCCTAGGGGATGTTGGACTTGGTGGGGAGTCTAAGACAGAAGGGGGGTCTGAGACGGCTAACAACGCTGGACCCCAAATTGGATCTGGGCCGTTGAAGAAATCCAAATCCAAAAAAGGTGGAACTGGGAAGAAACCTGGATCTGTACGAGTACAGGAAGCCGGACAAGAGACTGGACCTGCGACGGAATCTTTGGCTCCCCCCAAGGCACCCCCGAAAGAATCTGGAGCCAAAAAAAAGGCCGGAACCAAATCAAAACGAGCCTCCAAGGTCACAAGAGAAGATGGCACTCTGGCAAAAGTTGGGACAAAAAAGAAGGCGAGAGATTCAAGCGGTGCTGTGACGACAGGTGGAGAAGCAATGGAAGCCACGGCGATTAAGAAGATGGCAGGAGAGATCAAAGCTATAACGATTGAGAAGACTGAAGAAGCGATGGAAGCCATGACAGTGGAGAAGGCTGGAGAAACGGAAGCCATGACAATTGGGAAGGCTGGAGAAATGATGGAAGCCATGACAATTGGGAAGATTGAAGAAATGATGATGGATTCTCAGGCCAAGGGAGAAGCTCTCGTTGGTAGACCGGAACCCAATCAGGAACCCAAGCCCGGAGGTTGCGGAACAAAAACAGAGTCCAACATCAAACAACGGGCTGCTATTTCAAGAGGCTCGGAAAGCCCAAGGAAAGCAAGCCATGCGAGAGCCCAAGCGCAACCGAGACTCTGTGGATGCAGGGGAAGGTGCTGGACACTAGAAATACCACTTGCTGGTCTCCAATACTCGTCGACCACAGATCTCTCGGCGGCCGTGAAGAGCGGTAACCTGTGGCTGCTGAGGATGATACTCCACAGGGGCGTTGACCCCAACAAGGCGGAACAACCTGGCGGCCAGAGTGCGCTGCACGAAGCAGCGTACTGGAACCGTCCCCATGCAGCGCAGATTATCATGGGGTTTATGGGTAAACGTACTATTCATGCAAAGAATCACGAGGGACTGACAGCGATTGAGGTGGCAAAGAAGCGGGGCAATGAGGATGTCGTTCGATTGCTGGAGGCTTATATGTGATGTCGTAGTAATGTCAATTCTTCTTCCACACTCCCTCTAATTACTTTTGATGCCAGAGACATTTCAAGTGGAACTCTTCAGCCCGACGTACCGTTTAGGCTAGCGTGCGGCTCTTCTTGCTAGCTGAGATTATGCGGAAGCTACGCTCTAGTGCCCAAGGTGGAGCCTTGGGGCTTTTCCGGGCATGACGTAGATTTCTCTGGGGTGATTACTACTTAGGTATCTGGGTACATATGTTATTATCGTTTCCGCAGCAGGGGTAGGCTACGATTGAAGACGCCTTGACGTTCCCGCAGCATACATGAGGCTCTTAAGGCGCCTTGCCGTTTGCCCGTGGCAGCTGTTGGGCGTAACTGCAGGTGCTCTAAAACGACCATAAATAGTGGACAAATGCATCCGGCAAGCAACATGTTTTTGTTAGTCTGTGTCTCTCATTGGACTCAACTTGATGTCTCGCCTTGGTCTCGGCTGCTATTTTGACCCTTTGCACTTTGACAGACTTTGAGAACCTTGAACCCTGCATTTCGCTGGCCTCGACCTATACTTTGTGCCAATTCATTTCATGTTCCCGGTCCTTTGATGTCTATCCCCCTCTCTCTCCCGGAGCTGCCAGCATGGGCCGCACAGCTGGCGGGCATCCTGCCGCTCACAGGCCTGGTCGAGCTGGTTGATGCCTCTGAAAAGCTGCATTCGCTCGAGCTCGCTGCCGCGGTGCCTCTGTGGAACTGGCCCGTCACGCCGGCCATGGCCCGGTCCCTGTTTTCCAACGACAACGCCGACGCGTGCTACCTAGACTCTGTGAGACAATCCCAGGCCTTGCACTGCATTGACGGTCGTTTCGGTGACCTGTACCCGTCCAGCACCCCCACCACGTCACTCATGTGTGGACAGACGAAGAGGCCGGCCACGGTCATCGCCAATCCGTGGCTCGACAGAGAGACGCCTCGCGGACGCAGACAGAAACTCAAGGTGATTGTATTGACGGAGAACCTTGACCGGCCCCAGCCACGCCTTTCCAGCTCCTCCAGTGCCCACCTTTGGATGTCTATCCTCGGATGGCTCTGTTGGGCCGGTGCTGGCATCACCTCCCTCTACGCCCGGCTGTATATAGCTGCCGCATACCTGGCCCTCATGCCGCTGACGGGAGCCACCATCGGCCTCACGCACGGCAATGCTCCTCGCCAGCTACTGGATACCACTCTCGACCACGCGCGCATGGTCGTTGCGACCCACAGTCTGAACGGGACTGCCTGGTGCGCCTTTTACGGCGAGAGCAAGCTGCTCAACACTCTGCTCAACAGGCCGCTCTGCCGTGTCGACGCCAGGCCGTCGGGCCGCCTCCTCCCCCTCGGGCTGCTGCTGCGGCTCCTCATCGCGGGCCAGTGGGTGCTGAGCGTGGGATCATGCGCCCTGCGGGACTGGAACGCCATCGTCATCTTCGCGTGGCTCATGTTCTGCATCCTCTACAGCGCGTTTGTGTACCCTCTGCGGGTGTGTGTCCAGGACTGGCTGCGGCAGAGCTGCAATCTGAGCGCCGAGTGCATCGACGTCGAGTTCACGACGCGCAGGTCCATGCTCTCCGCACTCGTCTGCCTTAACCCCGACACGAAGGAGAGACGCACTGCGTGGATCGATCCAATTCTTCGCCAGTCCGAAGACCGAGACTCGTGGCAGAGAGAGCTCCTGAATTATATACTTACCAGTGAGAGAAACCGGACCTGTTTACTTGAATCATGCTGACGAAGCTCCCGGCAGAGAGGACCCCAGGTGATGCTATAGCGAATCAGTATTGGTGGAAATTCATCGAAGAGGGCTACAATGCTGGGGACAAGATCAAGGACAAGATTGAACACATAATGAAATTAAGCATTTAGCGACCGGTCACGCATAAATTCCGTTGTATCCCACACAGTTGGGCGGATGACCCAAGAATGAGACATGTACCGATCATTGTCTTACATGTAGACATGGGCAGCGTTAGGAATACCTAGGCCTAGACGATGGCGATGATATCAAATACTATTGCCCCTCCCTTATTGTGTCAAAAAGACGCTGCAAATTACATGTAAGGAAAATAAGGAAGAGGGCAAATTGGGGGGTTGAGAACTTGAAGTGTTTGACCGATAGCGAGCCCCGTATTCTCCATGTCGTGGCCTTGCTGCCCAACGCTGGCAGAGGAGCCGAGCCTATCATCCAAAGTTCTTGTTGCAGGTATATATGTAACAGCAGAGACACTTTGGCGATGGTTTTTTTCAGCAGAAGCATCTGTGTTTTCTTGTCACTATATCCTGGTTTGACCCCCGGTCAATGACTATGGCCCAACGCACCCTTAGTCGCGATGCCTACACTGTGGGATGGATCTCCGCCCTCTCCGTTGAGTTTGCTGCTGCGGAGCAGCTGCTCGACGAAGAGCACGGCGACGTTGCTCTGGATCACGACGACGATAGCCTCTACACGCTGGGCAGCATCGGTAAGCACAATGTCGTAATTGCGTGCCTGCCGGCTGGCTCCACGGGCACTAATTCCGCCGCCGCGGTCGCCACCCGGATGAAGGCCCAGTTTCCCTCAATTCGCTTCGGCCTCATGGTCGGTATTGGAGGAGGCGTCCCAGGGGTCACAGCGGACATTCGCCTCGGCGACGTAGTCGTGAGCCAGCCGTCAGCGAGGAGCGGAGGTGTGATACAGTACGACTTTGGGAAGAGCACGCCGGACGGGTTTGCGAGAACGGGCTTCCTCAGTCCTCCGCCGAGGATCCTCCTGAGCGCGCTGGCCAAGATGCAGGCGCAGAGCCTCCGAGGGAGAAGCGTCTTTGCGTCGCACCTGTCGCGGTTCGACGGCCTCTCCGAGTTTAGGCGTGACCACGCGGGACCCGACCAGCTGTTTGAATCCAATTATGACCATGTGGGCGGGCCTACCTGTGAGGGCTGCGACCAGAAACAGCTGGTCAAGCGGACGCCCGGTAGGGGAGAGAATCAGGTCAAGGCTCATTATGGCACGATTGCCTCTGGGAACATGGTGATGAGGTCCGGTCGGGCACGAGACAAGCTGAGCTGCGAGCTCGGAGACGTGCTCTGCTTCGAGATGGAAGCTGCCGGGCTTATGAATGGCTTGCCGTGCCTGGTGATTCGAGGTAGGGACGGCCTGTTCCACATAGGCGTCGCATTAATACCATATCATGGGTGTGTGTTAACGGATGGCGGGTCTAGGCATTTGCGATTATGCAGACTCGCACAAAAACAAGACGTGGCAGCCATACGCGGCGGCGACAGCAGCAGCCTATGCCAAGGAGCTCCTCCTCACCATCCCCGGTATAATCCACGCTCAGGGTCATGAGCCAGACAGAGGGCCGACAATAAGCAGCGACAGGCGGATTCGTACCGAACCCTTGCCCAACGTGCGTGTTTCTGCGGGCGACAATTCGGGGTTCATTGTGGGAGCAAACTATGGGAATATCAGTGGAACCAGCTTGTTGGGTCGATTTCATTAATTCTTTGTTATAGATGATGATTTATCATTGCGTAAACAATTTTTTTGGAAAAAAAGCAGCTGTAATAAATAGGACGCTATTTTCGGGCATGTGGGCATATATACTTTACGGATGTTATAAAACCTCGCTCAGTTTAACGGCTCTTATTCTAGCTCTCTTGCTTCATGTTCCTTACCAGAGCTACCCCTCCGCTATTCTCGCAAAAAAAAAAAAAAAAAATCCCTGTCAAGCGATTCACTATTCCCACCTTGATCCTTTGAGTTTCTTAGTAACACAGTAGACAAACAGACTATATGTAGACACCACAAGTTAGATATTACGGGGAACGTTATGAGGGCTACAGCTCTGTGTGTATTTGCTGTGGTGTGTAGGATCTAGCGTTCCATGTGTACATTGTGCACTCTTGTAGCCCCCAACGCCATGATCCTGGTCGAAACCTTGATCCCAACCGCCGTGATTCTGAGGTCCTCTTTGTCCAACTGTGATGTTGTTGTAATTACATGTAACCCATCTGATGGATACAGGATGTATTACTAGTAGTGCTGGCAATGACCATTCGCCGTTGCTGTCGTCATTCAGCCCCTTTGAAAATGCCACTGGGAATTTCTCATGACAGATTCAGCCTTGCTTTGCTCTTCTCGTCAAACCACTGTGACGGCTCCGCCGACTGGGCCGAGCTCAGCAAGTTGATGACGGTCCTGTGGCCTCGCTGCGACGCCCTCGTCAGGGCCGTGGTGCCATCCAAGTCGGTCGCGCCGGCGGCAGCCCCGCGGGAGAGCAGGAGCCGCGTGGTGAAGTCGTTGCCGCGCTCGGCTGCGGCCATCAGGGCCATCTCGCCGCGAAGGCCGCGCGCGTTGGCATCGGCGCCATGGTCGAGCAGCAGCTGGACGACGCGTGCGTGGTCGGCCGTGGTGGCTGCCATGAGCGCGTCGTGCCCCCTGAACTGGTCCTTGGCATCGACGTCGGCGCCAGACGCCAGCAACAGCTCAACCACGGCCGGATTCCCACGCCGCGCCGCTCTCATCAGCGCCGTGCCCTCCTCCCAGCTGTTGACGTTGACGTCGGCGCCGCGCTCCAGCAGCAGCCGCACCACCGCCTCCTGGTCCCTGTCGACGGCCCTCATCAGCGCCGTCCTGGCGGCCCAGTCCCGGGCATCCATGTCGGCGCCGCGGTCGAGCAGCAGCCGCACGATGGACTCACGCCCCTCCTCGGCGGCCTTAATCAGCGCCGTGTCTTGTTGCGGAGTGCTCCGGGCATCCACCTCGGCGCCGTTGTCCAGGAGCAGGCAGATGAGCTCCTCGTGGTTCCGCTCCACCGCGCGCGTCAAGGCCGTCCATTTCCGCGGGCGATCCTGCGCATTGACGTTGGCGCCGAGGGCCATCAACCGGCGCGCCGCCGTGGCGTGGCCTCCTTCGACCGCCAGCATCAGCGGTGTCACGCCAGCCTCGTCGGCGACGCTCGTGTCGGCACCGCTGCCGAGCAGCAGCTCCATGACCGTCGCGTGATTCTGCAGCACGGCTCTCATCAGGGCCGTGCGGCCGTCCATGCAGTCCCGCTTGTCCGGGCTGGCGTTGTGCTCCAACAAGAGACGAACGACGGCGTCCTGCTCCTCGTCGCGCTCCGTCGCCCACATGAGCGCCGTCCGGCCGCCGCTTCTCTCCTGCCGGTCGACGTCGGCGCCGTGCCCGAGGAGCTCCTCAACCACTGCCGCGTGCCCTGCCTCGGCGGCCATCATGAGCGCTGTGCGTCCGCCGCTCCTCCATGTCTCTTGGCCGTTGACATCGGCGCCGTGCCCCAGGAGCTGCGCGACAATGGCCCTGTGCCCGCCCCCGGCGGCCATCATCAGCGCCGTCTGCTCATCGAGCCTCCTCCGCTTGTGGACGTCGGCGCCGTGGCCGAGCAGCGTCTGGACTATCGCGGCGTGGCCTCGCTGTGCCGCCCTCATCAGCGCCGTCTGCCCCCAAAAGTCCTGGTTGTCGACCTGCGGCGTCCGCTTCAGCAGCGCCTCCACGACGGCTTCGTGACCCTGCTCCGCCGCAAGCCCCAGCGGCCTTTGCTTCCGGTCGTCCTCGGCCTCCACGTCGGCGCCGAGATGGAGGAGGCGCCGCACAATCTCCAGGTGTCCCTGCCTCGCCGCCTTGCCCAGCGCCGTCTGCCGCCTCTGATCCTTGGCGTTGACGTCCACTCCATGCTTGATGAGCAGGTCCGTGACTCCCTGATGGCCCTGCGCCGCCGCCCACATGAGCGTGGTCCCGCCCCGGCCGTCCTTTGCGTTGGCATCGGCGCGGTGGCGGAGCAGCAGCTCTACCATGTCCTGGTGCCCTCCGCTCGCGGCGCAGTGGAGGAGCGTGCGGCCGAGGTCGTCGCGCTCGGTGATTTTGCGGCTCCAAAACTTCCAGGCGTCGTCGGTCAGCGTCTTGTCGACAAACGACTTGATGCCGAAATAAGCAGCCACGTGCAGCCACGACATGTTCCCCCCGGGCGGCGCATCGTCCGCTCCCGGCTCCTTGGTCCTGCGGTACACCTGCCACCAGCGCAGCCCCAGGGGAGAGCCGTCGCGGAACAAGGGTCGCGACCGCTCCAGGACCTTGTTGGCGTGCTGCTTCGACTGCCGGGCGTGCTCTGGCCAGTACATGGTGGCATAGTCCAGGAGCGGCGATGGGCTTTGCGCCTCACTCTGCTCCAGGCAGCTCAGGCAGTGCCTGGCGAGCTCGAGGTGCGCCTCCTCGGGCCGGATACCAAAGGGCTTCGCGACGCCCAGCAGATAGTCCCTGGCCGACTGGTGGACCAAGTGGACGGCGTCGTCGTGAATCCTCAGGAGGCCCTCGCAGCAGACCACCTGCTCGCGGCACGCCTGGAGGCTGCTGACGAGACATGCCGGCCCATCACCGCATCCCGCCAGCCCTCGCAGCTCCTGCAGCTCTTCAAGCCGCAGCGGGCGCATCGCCGTAGCGACCCAGCGCAGGAGCCGCGCGCTCTCGTCCTGCTGCTGGGGCTGGATCTGGTCCAGGATGCGAGAGTAGATCTTGTTCAGGCCCTTGGGCAGACTGTGTATTGTCTCCCACACCTCCTGGCTCGTCTTCTTCTTGGCCAGCTCCTTGAGAATCAGGCCCACCCAGAGAAACGTACCGTCCGACTTGGCCTGGAGCATGTCGCACACCTTGGACGCAATCCCGTCCAGGCGGGAAAGCCTTCTGACGCCGTCGGCGATGCACCGCTCGATGTCGCTGGCCAGCGGCTTGTCGTTGTTGACATCGAGCCGCAGCCGGGTGAAGCCCTCCAGGCCATCCATCTGCCGGCTTAGCACCAGCAGCCGGAACCTCCCTGGGCTCGACCGCGCCTGGCCCTCGAGCGCCGTCAGCAGCCAGCCCGCCGACTCCCTCCCGCACTCGTCCAGTCCGTCCAGGACACACTGGACCGTCTGGAGCGCCACGTCGCCGAGGATCCTCTCGAAAATGTGCCAGAGCGTGTCGAACGAGGCTAGCGAGCTCGCCGCGTGGCTGGGCTTCAGGTAGTAGGAGGCGTGCTTGGCCAGGCCTGGGTGTTGCTCGATGAGCTGGAACAGTAGCCCGCTGAGGATGGCGACCGCTGTGTTGCGGTCTGCCTCGTTGCTCGAGCAGAAGAAGAACAGCAGCGTCACCAAAGGCTCCTGCTCCTGCCTTGCCCGCGCTTCGAGCTCCTCGATTACAAAGATGGAGAGCATTGTCTTGCCCATGCCAGGACCCCCGGTGATCCAGAGCAAGGCCGTATCCGAGCTCGGCTGGGAGCAGGTCAACCACGAGCGATAGAGCACGTTGTCCCGGATCCATTCGCAAGTCCCGGGCACCCTCCTGCCGTTGACGCGTATCAGCCTCCGGCGATCCATCTCGGGATTGTGGAGGTTGTCACGGCATATCCCATCGTGATCCGCATCTGCTAAGGATACATGTAAGTTTATTTGGCTTATACACCTCTCTGGTAGCATCTTTTGGTAAAAAGATGCCGAGAGCTCAGCCTGAAAGATTGGTTCATCTGCCTCCCCGCCATGCAGCATCTCCAAGGCTGCTGCTGCTTACATACCTTCATCACTGGACGTGCTCGGTTTGTAAAGGTGCACATGCAATTCCCCGTGGTTCGTTCCAAGCAATAGTCCATGGTTGCTCTGAGCTGAGGCCGAGACATTAGCCGCGAGAGCTCCAGCTACTATATCCATTCTCAGTAGCGCGAGGCGGAATAGAATTGGGGTTTACAACAAATTCGGCCTTGGGTATTAGAACGTAAGCGCTCCAATATCAGCCTAAGCAAATAGGAAGGGAGATTTTCCTGCCTCACGTCGTCGAGGTCGCTCACATATTATTACTCCCTATATAAATATGTATGTGGGCTTAAACCTTTGCCATGCAAGGGAACTGATATTATGTTTTTAATTGCAGGTGTAGTAGGTAGTAGCCATCTCAGCTACATGTAGTCATATAGCGTGTGATTGGCCGCTTTGATCGCCCCCTATTCCCCCATCGTGGATTGATTGGTGTGGACACGGGAGACGCTCAGCCGTCTCTCGTCGGGCATCAATAGTATCAACTTGAGCAGACGTGGCATGGCACACAGAGTGACAAGAGTATGTCGTTCATCACATAGGTACATGTAGCCAATGGGACCTCCCCTCGGTGTGCTGTGCACCAGTAATTCTCTCTGCCTCAGCCAACGATTCACAGCTCCGCAGCCGACTATGACTGTCGGGTTGTTTATGCAAGTTTGGGTGGACCAGGCTGGAAAACTTTGGGCATCTACGATATGTGGATACATGGTACAGATATCTGATTATTGGACGGTGCGTTTGCATGATGGATACAATATGTAGAGAAGAATTACTACCCAAGCATATAAAAAGGATAAAAAAGACTTTATTCAGAAAAAATGTGAAGTGGAAGGGGCACAAGACAGAGATCATCACACTCATCAAATACATCTTTGTTCTTGCTCTCATTTTGACGTTATGTGACATTTTCTTGGTTTGTCCACGATCTAACAATTACCACGAAACCATGTCCCTAGTCGACGCCTTATTGGCCGAATCATCGGATGAGATCGACCTCAAGGCCGACTATGACTGTCTCTTGGACCTGCAGGAGCAGGACAAGTCCGAGTCTGCTCCGCCGCCCGTGCCCATCACGGTCGCCGAGGCGTTTGCCTACCACAAGATCCTGACCGGGCCCATTGACAGCGACCAGGACGATTCGGATTCCGACGATGACGCCGAGTACAATCGGGCGACAAGGGGCGAGCGAGGCCAAGACTCGGCACCGGCCACGGCGCTGATCAAGGTGGGCCCCCACGACGCCCTCCTGGCCGTTGCCGAGCCCACCGACGACGACTCGGCCTGCGGCAATGGAGCGCCTCACGATCACATGTGGGCGGCAAACCCCTCGTTCCGGTTCACGGAGCCCGAGGTGGGCTTCCTGTCGCATCTCGCCCACCTCTGCATCGAGGCGCGACTCCAGAAATGCTCGAGGAGCTCGTGTCTCGAGGAGAGGGCCAGGATGGACAGGGTCGCTCCGGACTGTCGGTGGGCGGCCTTCCGGGAGTGGGCGCTCGTCTCCATGTCGTGCCAAGCCAGCATGCGGGACAAGAACGAGCTCTCGCAGGCGCACACGCACATTGCCAGGGCCATCTCGGGCTGCTGCATGACGCTCAAGGCCTACCTCGACCACAGCCGAGAGCGGTTCCTGCCCTTTCTCGACGGCGCGGGCGTGGAGGAGCACCGGGTAGACCTGGCCGAGGTGGCCAACCTCATCTACTGGATGGCCAAGATCCAGTCGCAGATCGGCATCGGGCCGCGGCGCTTCGGGGCCTGGGACCACCGGCTGCTGCCGTCGACAGTGTCGCTGCCGTCCATTGAGCGGGCGGCACACGAGGTCGAGGCCATGGGGCTCTGCAAGCAGCGGCTCTGGAATCTGGTCGCCATCAGCGACCGGCGGCAGAGCGACCTGCCGGACATCATCAACGCCCTGCGGCCGCACAAGGACAGTCTGCGCCACGAGAGCCACGACTTTTGCACGCCGAGCAAGTGTCAGTGGTCGCACATGAACAGCTCCTCGGTCCGGCAGCTCCACAAGTGCGGAGCGGTGGAGCCCCGGGAGCCGTCCGGAGGTCGGAAAGCGGCCCGGGCGGCAAAGGCGTGCGCGCAGCGGCTGTTTTCCGTCGAGCTGCTGGAGACGGCCGTGGAGCTGGGCAACAGCACCGCCTGGCTCTGCAGCGGGCTCCGGCTGAGCGGGCCCAGGGACGCCTACATTGCCATCTCCCATGTCTGGTCCGACGGCACGGGCGTTGGCGTCCAGGAGGTCGGCACGGTCAACTCGTGCCTGTTCGACTTCTTCTCCGGCATCGCCAAGGAGCTTGGCTGCAACGGGCTGTGGTGGGACGCCCTCTCAATCCCCTACGAGCCGCGGGCGCGCAGCAAGGCCCTGAACCAGATGCATGCCAACTACGCCAACGCCCGGTATACCGTTGTCCACGACAGCTACCTGATCAACTTTCCGTGGAGCGATGACGGCAGCCCGTGCCTCGCCATCGTGCTCTCCACCTGGTTCACGCGAGGCTGGACGGCGCTCGAGCTGGCCATGTCCAAGAGAGTCAAGGTCCTCTTTGGAAACCCGGACCCGAGCGAAAAGGACCCGGTGATCAAGGATCTTGACGAGGACGTGCTCGCCGCCTCGCCCGCCGTGGCGTCGCGTGCGCACTGGCTGGCGACGACGCTGATCCGCCGGCTCCGCGCCTCCATCAACGATGTCGGCGACTTGCTGGCCATCCTGTCCCCGCGCAGCACATCTTGGGCCCGGGACCGCACCATCATCGCCGCCCTGCTGACGGGCGTGCCGGACTGCGACTTCACCGTCGGCGAGAGCATCATCACGTCCAAGATCCTCGGGTACCTGGGCAAGATCCCCTACGGCTGCATCCTGCACGGGAAGCCGACCATGCGTGACCGCGGTGAGTTCTCCTGGTGCGCGGCCACGCTCGATGATATGCCACCGGGGACGTCGTCCGATGTGGGCGGCGGCGCCGGCTCGAGGTCGCGAGCCCTGCTGGACCTGGACGAGAACGGAGCCATCGAGGGGCCGTTCCATGCCCGGTGCCTCGAGCCGGGAGAAGTTGACGTCAACATCAAGCCCTTTGGGAACGACCTCGCGGTGGTGGTCAAGGTCAACATTGCCCTCCGGCATCACGAGCGTTGTCTGCTGTTGCGACAGGATCCGAGCGCCAGGGAGCCCCTCGCCCTCCTGGTCGTGCCCATCAGCATCATCAGGGACGGCCCCGTCCTAAAGTGTCGCTACATTGGCACCGTGACCGAGACGCACGACGCTGAAGCCTTTGACGCCGATGACTGGTTCAAACTGAACGTCCGGCTTGGCGGCAGCGATAGCCACCGCAGGGGCATGCGGGCCGACAAGGCGCTGGAGTTGTATGACGACTTTTGCGATGTCGTATGCGACGAGCAGGACGACAAGTCTGTAAGGGGAGATGAGGGGGATGACGACAATGAAGACGACGGCGGCGAGCAGGGCGATGATCTCGCCTCGGTGCAGACGCCCATGCAACAAGAAGGGCCGCCTGAGAGCCCTCCGGAATGGCCCATCGTCAACATCTGGCCCGGGCGGGAAAACAGGCAAAAGGCCAACGAAGAACACCACGAGAGGGGCCTCATCCTCGCCATGACCAAGAGGAACGAAAATGCGGCCCGGTATCTCGTCAAGAAAAAGGTCGGCCTCCAGCTCGACGACCTGGAGGCCATCCGTGCTCTCTGCAAGGATCACCCGGCGGTGACCACATCCGGCATGAAGATGCTGGGGGACATTTACGTGGAGAATGACAATCTCCAAGAGGCCAGCTACATCTATCGCTACGTCATTGAGACATACGAGGCCATCGAGGCCAAGGACAGCCAGCAGCTCTTCCAGCTCTATCAAACCAAGCACTCTCTGGGATGTGTCCGCTTCGGGAGGGACGAGGTCATGGAGGCCAAAGGGCTATTCGAAGACGTGCTGGCCGGGTGCGATGAGAGAAAGAAGAAGATGGAAAGGGAGAGCAAGAGGCCGGTGCGGTTCAGGGCAGGCACTGCGAAGAAGGAGGCTGCTCAGGGCCCGGACGCCCCATCAGCCGCGCCGGGAAGCCCAGTAAAGCTCAGCAACGAGGCCAAGGCCAACCAGGGGTGGTACCGGCTGGAGCTAGACTCCATCACGGAGTTGACGCTCCTCAAGGTCGGAGAGGTCGACTTCAGCGGCGCCGCGAAGACGTACCGGCGGGCGCTCAGGAGGTTCGGCAACGCGCCAAAGGAGATTGAAGCCTTCGAAGGCCTCTGGGTCGGCCGCATGTCGCAGGTGTTCAAGGAGAAGAGCAGACGGGATGAGCGGGCGGCCGGCGTCTACCAGCGCGCGCTCAAGCGATTCGATACCATGTTCCGCATGAACCATTTGCTGATCCCCATCACCGCCCTCCATCTCGGCGTCAACTGCATGCTCAGGTCCAAGTTCGCCGACGCCCAGCTCTACCTGATGCGCGCGCTAGCCGGCTTCTTCGAGCGCTTCGGTCGTCCCCTGCGGGACGGCGAGACGGCCCTGGAGTATCAGATGGAGGACGAGCGCGAGCACCTCATCCTGGTGCTGGTCAGGTACCACCTCGGCCTGCTCTTCACCAAGCAGCAGAAGTTCGACGACGCCCAGAGGCAGTTCGATCTCGCGCTGGCCGTCGTCACCAGGGCGAACAATGCCGGCACCGACGTGCTGCGGCTGTCCATCCTCAACGCGCTGGGCCAGAACAGCCTGTCCAGCCGGCCGCCGAGACTAGACATGGCCGAGGGGTACTTCTCACAGGTCGAGTCCCAGTCGCAGGGCCGCGCAGAGCAGCAAGACATGATCCGCCTGAGCATCCAGGCCAAGCTGGGCCGCGCCAGAAGCGTCTATTCCACCGGCAAGAACGGCATGGACAGCGCGGTGAGGCTCCTCAACGCCATCATTGAGCAGCTGGATAGAATCAGGACCGAGGCGGGAAACGACCTCGACGAATGCCAGGTCAGGCTCTTCCTCGGCAGGGTATTCGAAGACAAGAGGAAGCTCCCCGACGCCGCGAAACGGGTTGACCTGGCGCTCAAGAGCCTCAAAATCTTGGAAGGGGAGGAGAGCCTGACCTACCTGGAGGCAGCGAGCAAGCTGGGAGAAATATACGAGAGGCTCGATGAAAAGGACGAGGCCGAGACCCTCCTCCAAATGGCCGCAGACAAGTTGAGGGGGAGCGTCGGCGCCTACCACCCTCAGACGCTGCGGGCAAGCTGGCTGCTTGGCAAGGTGTACTTGGCCCAGAGAAGACTCGAGGAGGCCAGGGAGAAGGTCGAGTGGGCGTACCAGGGATGCGAAAAGGCGTTGGGGGGCAGCCACAAGCAGACCGCGAGCACGGCCCAGACGCTGGGCACCATCCACCTCGAAATGAACAAGCTCGCCGAGGCGCAGGAGATGTACAAGAAGGCCTACACTGGATTCAAGAACATGGCTGCGAAATCCAACGCCAAGGCGCACGAAGAGGGAGGGCTAGAGAGTAAACTGACGGACAAAACGACGCTGCTGGCTCTCATGGACTACGCAAAGGTCTGCGCCCTGATCCCAGGCAAGCGGTCCAAGGCCACCGCCCTGAGCAAGTACAAGCTCGCAGTGGAAGGCTTCGCCGCTCTCGACAGTGGAGATGCGAACCACAAGGGCGACGCCCATCTGCACCTACTCGAGGCCAAACTCAGTCTAGGCTGCGTCTACCGGGAGATGAGGAAGTTTGACGAGGCGTACGAGCAAATCCGGGAAGCTCTCGCCGGCTTCCTGAGCCTGAGTGAACCAAAGCCCGGGAGGCCGGAGACGGAAGTCGGGGCGAGGGCGGCCACGGCCGCCAGAACAAAGTGGTTCGAGGCCCGGCTCCGCCTCGGGCAGCTGAAGCTAGATGCGTCCCACCAGCAGCACGAGGCGCAGGAGGGGCAGGACGAAGGTGAGAGCGCCAAGGAACTGATAAAGGGGGGCCGAGATGGTCTTAGGGACCTACTCGGGAGCGCCCACATGCTCACGCTGGAAGCGTCGACCTATCTTGGTAATCTCTATATGAAGGAGGGAGAAGAGGGAGGAGTAGAGGGAGAAGGGGAGGGGGGAGGAGGAGGAGAAGGGGAGAGGGAGGGAGAAGAGCAAGAGATGGGCGACGTTCTGCTCCGAGACGTCCTACGCTGCTACGACACCGAGACGAAGCTGCCGGTCGGCCATCCGAAGAAGATCCGCATCATGGACTCCCTCATCAGCCACTATCACCATGTCGGTGACATGACGGAAGTGGGGAAGATGGAGGAGAGGAAGTGGAAGGAGCTCAAGGACGCCTACGGCATGGACCAGGCCGCCATCATCATGGACGTCACCGACTGGAAGCACATGAACCACGATCGGGACGACGGCAGCAGCGTCGAGGAGAACGACGACCCCGATGACGGCGACGACGAAAGGCACCATGGTTACTACGATGCCTGGGATCACCACGGCTCGGTCTCGTGGGACTCGGACAATGACTGGGAGGATGGGGGGGAGAAGAACCGAGGCAACGATAAAGGGCAGAACCAAGATGATGTAGTCGATTCGAGGGAGGAAGAGGAGAAGGCCAAGACGAGACACATATCTAAACCAGATGAGCATCAAGATGAAGAAAACAAAGCAGCAGAAGTCAATGAAGAGAGTGAAGAGGAAAGAGGAAATGAATCGAAAGATGTAAAGCGAGGAGATGAAAATAAGGAAAAGGATGAAGGTAAAATGAATAAAGATAAAGAGGGCGTTGAGAATGGAGAGGGTGGGGTGGATAAAGAGAGTGAAGATGATGAAGAGGACGAAGAGGGTGAAGAGGGTGAAGAGGGTGAAGAGGGTGAAGAGGGTGAAGAGGGTGAAGAGGGTGAAGAGGGTGAAGAGAGTGAAGAGGATGAGGAGGATGAGGAAGATGAAGAGGATGAAGAGAATGAGGAGAGTGAGGAGGATGAGGAGGATGAGGAGGATGAGGAGGATGAGGAGGACGAAGAGGGTGAAGAGAGTGAAGAGGATGAGGAAGATGAGGAGGATGAGGAGGGTGAGGAGGGTGAGGAGGGTGAGGAGGATGAGGAGGGTGAAGAGAGTGAAGAGGGTGAAGAGGGTGAAGAGGATGAAGAAGGTGAAGAGGGTGAGGAGGATGAAGAAGGTGAGGAGGATGAGGAGAGTGAGGATGAAGAGAATGAGGAGAGTGAGGAGGATGAGGAGAGTGAGGAGGATGAGGAGAGTGAGGAGGATGAGGAGAGTGAAGAGGGTGAGGAGGGTGAAGAGGGTGAAGAGGGTGAAGAAGGTGAAGAGAGTGAAGAGGGTGAAGAGAGTGAAGAGGGTGAAGAGAGTGAAGAGAGTAAGGAGGATAAGGAGAATAAGGAGAGTAAAGAGGTTAAAGTATAGAAGATTTAAAAAGACAAAGACAATTAATATTAGTAGAGTTTAATTATGTAGTAATGTCTATAATATAAATATTATTGGGTTGTTATTGTTATTGTTTTGTTTAATGTTGAACTAACTACATGGCTTGCACTTACCGGTGCTCTCTGTTTTCGACAGTGTTGCATAGCTCACGCTCTGTCGCAGATGCAGATGGTATTGGCTGGGAAGTGGAGGAAGTGAATACCTTAGGTAGGTACTAGTAGCATGAAGTCTGTAAGTCTACAACCTCTAGGTACATACTAGTAGGTATAGTGTAAGTGAAAATAAAGGCAACTTTTTTTTTCACGTTTAACGTATATGTAATTTGACTTCTAGATATATAAATATTGTTCTCTGTCTTGCTGGACACAGAGACACCTCATACTATCACTATTGCATATATCAATTTATAGATCAGCTATTTTAGATAGGATACATGGGTTTTGTCCCTGTATTCAATGAGACATCGTAGCGAGCCTTTTCATGTACGGAATTCTTACCCGCGATGAAAGTTTCTTGTACATCCTGGCGCCCCCAAACGGCCCCTATATGTGTAACATCATTGTCTATGTGATGACTTCATCCGCTGTACAGGGATCAGAAGGACTACCACCAACCAACTGGGCTGATACCCAAGCCGCATGGCCAACTGGGCTATCTGTCGCCGCATATGCTCACTGTAGAGATTGGTTCTCAAAGACCTGCCGCTGGCCCAGATATGATAGCCTGGACGTTGCTAAAACGCTGATGGGAAATGCCTCCTCTGCCGTAGAGTTTTTAGCATTGAATCTCTCCACATCATTCTTATTAGGCACTGGATGCCAAAGATTGGTGTGAAGTGCTCGAACGCTCTCAGTATGATCGATGGCCATGTAGCGCACGGTGTGAGAGCCAAGATCACCACCATGGACAATATACTTGTTGTATCCCAACTGCAACATTAGGTTGTGGAAGACTTGACCAGCCTCCCGGAGCCCTAGGCCAGGATACTCGGGAGCCGGCGAGAAACCGAATCCCGGCAATCTAGGAGCCACTACATGGAACGCCGTTTCGTTAGAGGGAGGATCGATATACCTGTCAATAACACGATCGACCTTTAGAAACGACCCTGGGTAACCGTGCACGAACAGCAGCGGAATGGCATCTTTTCTGGGAGATTGGCGGTGGACAAAGTGGAGCGGAATGCTGTGCGAGTAGTTTCCAACGCCGTCAATTGTAGTCGTGAACTGCGGCGGGTGCTCGTTCAAATGAGACTGCGCAATATTCCAGTTAAAGCTATTTGTCCAATATTCTTTGAGCGCAGTGGCGTTCTGAACTGGTGGCCCATCACGAGGATCATGAGGTGTAAACTAATTGAACGCTTTGTAAATACGATTAGTAGTGGGCTACCCTATATGCTTACTTGTTGAGAAAAAAAATTCAAGAGCCCTACACTTGTGCTTGATTGGGCATGTCTTTGTATTATTCAGCTAATGTATCCAAATTTGTGTTCCTAGCTGAGTGTAATGGTTATAGGAGTCTGTTACTCCAAGATGTAAGCTTTCCATGCTCTCCAAGGAAAGCTTTTTAAAAAGAAACACGGACCTGATATGCGACTGTAGACTGGCTGTTGATGTGAGACCCGTTTTCGGCCTAGGAAACAAAGTACACAGTAATACCCACTTTTAGATAGCACAGTTAGGTACCTCTGTTCTTAAGCCCTAAACAGGCACAGGAGGCATCCTAGAGGAATCAACCAATTATCGCGATCCTGATCCCTGTGACGTTTAACACTGGCAAACTGGTCCATAAAGGTTAAGGCAATGAGTCTATAAATGGAATTATTTGCTCTTGATCTCCACATTCGGATCGATAGCTCAGTGGTAGAGCGAGAGATTGCAGATCTCTAGGTCACGCGTTCGATCCGCGTTCGGTCCTTCCTTTTTTTGCTTTTGCTACCTAATAGATCTTATAACTGTCTATGGTTTTATACTTATTATTATTAAAGAATTAATCTTTGTCTTTCTCTTAATTGATTATACTTATTAAACTCTTGATTACCTGCAAGAATAGAGAAGGCTGAAATGCAGTTGCTGATCTTCCAAGCTATTCCACTATATACCTTAGTCTTGATCGCCCTAGTCATCGCAGTGGATCGATAGCTCAGTGGTAGAGCGAGAGATTGCAGATCTCTAGGTCACGCGTTCGATCCGCGTTCGGTCCTTATGTATCTTTTTTAGCTTCTTGATCTCTAAATCATTTTACTTTTTATACACTAATTTTTTTTTTTTTTTTTAAAATAGAGTGTTCTTGGATCCAATTTCGTTATAATCTTTCAAGCCTTTTTCGAGAACAATTGCCTGAAATAAAGCTAGAGCTATGTAAAAATTGCATAATTATATTCTTCTTGACCCCATCTCGTGTCTTGTCTTTTAGAGAGTATACATATTATATACTAGCGATCCGAGGCTTGTCAAGCGGTTGATGCCTTTGTTTTCCTTCATTCTTCACTTCTAATTCCTTCATCCGCCTTGATCCATGGATGTGACAACAATTCCGTCAACGTCGCTCGTGTAGTAGGTTCAACGACACACATCTTTCGAAGATAGCTTCCAAGTACTGAGAGATCCTTCTCATTAACATCAAGTGTCTCCTTGTCGTACCCGTTGGCGTATGTCTTTTGTATTTGCTCCTCGAGGGGCAAAAAGTATTCCGCGCGGGATGCTTTTAAAGTTAGCTAGATTCGGAGCCGTTCTTTTGCGAACTTACCGTCTGGTACCTCCTCAAGCACGCCGGTTTCCAGACCTTCTGGGATCCATTGCTCAGGAAGACCACCAAGCACCTTCTGAAACTGTGGTATTAACTCGCGATCATCCATAAATGCCTCCAGTGGTGGGCGCCCGATCACAAGCTCATATGTCTTTAATTTTATTAGTTGATGTATAAATTTAGCTTATTAGTTCTTACCGTGCATCCAAGATTCCAGATGTCAACCGCTTCGGTCAGTGGGCGTCGGAAAACCAGTTCTGGCGGGTGAAAGGACATGGGTGTATGAATCGACTTGGGCGGATTGGAGAGGAAGAATGCTGAATGCAAGAATAGAGTCAGCTCATTACTTATTTCGGCAAGTGAGGGAAGACAAACATTCGCCGAAATCGACAAGCTGGACCTCATCAAGAAGCTCGCCATTGCCATACCCATATTCTGCAGGCTCTACTAGGTAGTCCGGAACCCCCTTCTCATTAGGTGACCCATCCTTCTTTGAAACCTCCCCTACTTGAGGGTCATCGATAGTGAGAGTTTCGTTGACATTCGAGAGCTGAAATAAGACGTTGCCCATATGTATATCTAATATTCAAGGTTAATAGGAGAAGTAGTAGGTTTAGCTTAGGTGCGGCCTACCTCCGTGTGCTACGCCACACGCTCGGAGATAATCTACAGCAAAAAGGAGCTGGGAGGAAATTCGACGAGCAATTTGACCTTCTAAACGGTAATTTGGTTGCATCTCTGCAATTGAAGATGTCTTCGGGCCAAGCAACTCGAGAACTATACAAAGATGGCGTCCATTGGGACCCTCATGATAGAATGAGTTTAGAAGATGCGAAACATGTCTATGGCCTGGATGGGCAGGGTCGCCGTTTCGCTTGATAGCCTGCAGAATTTCCAACTCGTGATTGTGATTGTGCGACTGCTCTGCGACTACGATTTTAATAGAAACATTCGTCTTGTTCCTGGTGGGGATGTAAGTAAATATCGGCCTAAAAGAGAACAGGCAAGTTACTCTTCATCTCGAGCGAGCCAGACAGTGGAGAATGACCCAAAGCCAAGCTTATTCAGAATTCGGTATCTCCCATCATCGAGCGTGTCGCCAAGACGCACTGGATGGTAGCCTCCGGGGCCATAGCCAGACAATTCTTCTGCGGGCAAACCAATGTTGTATTGGAATTGATCAATCATTTTTGTGGTGGTAGTGAGATGAAGTGGTGAAATCGGCAGGATTGACGTCGAAAGCTCGGAAAATCCCGGACTGTATTGTTGTACAATGATAATTTATAGCTTCGGGGAATGCGAAAGAGCTAATTTTGTGCACGTCTCTTCCATGTTGAGGCAGTATTTGGCCAAGTTGCATGGAGCAGAGACGGGGTATGGCGGCCTGCCCCACCAGCACGCTCCCAGCTCGTCTAAGCCGGAATGCCTGTCCAACACAAGCGAGATCTCAGCCTCTCCCACTCTGTCGCCGTCGATATCGCTCTCATATGTGAATGACAACAGTGACTTTAGTGTTAAGGAACGAAAAGCGTCGTAGCTCATAAATCACTCCAAATGCAAATGGATATATCCGGTTTGTAATGCCGTTACATGGAAGCTGTCTTATGAAAGAAAAACCCCGAGAGGTGTCTATTCTGCCGTACGAATTCCCTCAAGAGATTGGACGGTGAGTCTTTCTTTATGAAACAATTCTCTTGCAATACTTCACAAAGTCTTGACTGTTTGCATTAAATGGTGGAGAGATTTGCTTATAATACATAGGCTAATAGTCTGACGTAAGGTGGCAGTATTAATGTATATGGCGTAGAGAGCATTGTGCATCAAACCCGCAACATGCGTCTTCATAGCTACGGTCTACCAACGTGCATTGCACACGTTCGGCGGTTGCGTATAGTTGACATACCACATTTCATCGTTGTCAAACTCCATATAAGTGCTGGGCATGATCTCGCTTGCCGGAATCTTCATCCAGTCCTCAGCATCGAGGGCGTCACCAAACTCATCTGTCGCCTCCTCAGGCGCGAGACCATCTGCCCAACCCCGAACAATATTCACATGCCCTCCATGAAGATCAACACCACATTCACGAAGACAGCTCACCAGGCTTTCCTCGTCGACTTGGATAAAGTGTGAGTACCTTGAACCGAGTTCAGAAGAGTGAGCACTTATATCGAAGTTGAAGTGTTGCGTTTCAGTGCGCACCCACTCCCTGAATCTACGCTTCAGTTCACTCAGCAGTGCACCTTCAAGCTGAGAATCCTCGATCCAGGCCAAGTCGAGCTTCTTGGCGATGTCAGGAGCATCTGAATCTACAATGGCCTTTTGTATCCTGCATTCGACGAGGTTCTTGAACTTCTCCCAAGGGCCCTGGAGCTCTGGCTTGTAAGTGCATCGGTAGATGGCCCAGCCCCATTTGTTGTCTCCAGATTCTAGCATCCACTGGATTTGGCGCGCGGGCGAGAGGTCATACCATTCCATGCCAATCGATCTCGGCTGCCTTTGCGCGCTGCTTGACATGAAAGGCCGGTTGAATGGATATGTTTGAGTTGGCAAGCAAGCTGCTAGAATCGCGTTGGAGCGATGCTTGAGACGCGCCGGCTGTTGATAAAGGCCATAAGAGTGCTTCTTGCCTATAGTTCTGAGTACTCTCGGCAATTGAGCTTTTAGCTGTAGCCGCTTTATTGGTATAGAAGCCATATCACGCGTGTCCGTACGAAGGAATTTGCGATGCTAGCATGTAGATGAAGGGGAGAAGATAATTGAAGAAGTGGGGGACTGGCAGTGCTGTTACTAGCTTCTGTGTTTGCTATGTCTGTAGATAATACTATAATCTACTATGGTACTGGCTCTATTATCTAGCTTGGACGAGCAATACTATTATCCCAACGGCTGTGATATCATGTAAACGCTGTATCTTGTAATATGTTATACTCTGATGCAGCATGCGTCGTTACCTTCATCCCCCCCTTCGATCTCTACGTTTGCACCGTACCGAAATACTGTACCTTTGCAGACCCACTATAATGGCGCATATACAGCATACCTGTATGTTGAACAGACCACTATGGCAAAAGTTGAAGTGACCACTTCTCTCTGCGTAGTAATGTACCAACACATAAGGTATCCTAGCTCTTCCAACAGTATATCCACGCAGACCGCTCTTTTCTTCTTCCGCACTAGAACCCAATGGATCCAGCCTTCATCGCCATGGCGCCTGAGATTACCAGCTGGGAAGAATTACTTTGGGTATCTGAAGAATTTGACGATGAAACCGAAGACTTCCAATATACCGCAATCGCAAAGGTGGACGATGACCGGGTATTTTACAGCGAGATAAACAAGCCAAAGGCAGACATCACGTTTCAAGAAATCACCGCCTCCCTCACTCGAATTCCTGACGACGAAATCTTCCCACCGTGGCCCCAAGCTTTCACTACAACCAAGGCTCCTCAAGAGCTCCCTCTAGGCATTTTCATCAAACGGCCTCAAGTAGGAAAGTATGACATATTCTCAAAGCATAAAGTCGTGCATCTCCTTCGCGATGGATTTGCAGAGGAGGCAGAAGTCATGGAAATGCTAAGGAGCCAACCTCACCCGAATATTGTTGGATACCATGGTTGCCATGTCCGGCGTGGATATATCACTGGACTTGTCCTGGACCGACACCTCTACGACTTGAACAATTTCCTAAAGAGTGGCCAAGCCATCCAAGATAAAGAGCTCTTTATGGAATCACTGCACTCGGCAATTTATCACTTGCACGCTCTTGGCTGGGCCCATAACGACCTTAACCCCTCAAACGTCCTTGTGGCAGAGGACGGTAGGCCCATTGTGATTGACTTTGGCTCGTCTCGGAGAATTGGGGAGAAACTGTCAACTAGCCGTGGTACGAAAGGCTGGATTGATTGCGAGATGAAAGACTATACAACGTCAGAGACACATCATGATACATTTGCTCTCAACAAAATCTGTACGTGGTTAAGTAACCCGACATTTGAGGATTGAACAGCAGATTCAGATAGCCTCGCATGGTTGGACAGGATGCATTTCACTGCCATGATGCTCTACATGTACACTATGAAGAGTGCTGCTTTGTTGGTCGAATACTTGGCGCTGTTCATATCTTCTGAGAATCCCAAAGCCAACGCATTGAAGCCAAGGATGCCCGGGCCGTTATTCCTAGCAAGCTTGGTGTGTCGTGCGGCCCGTGCAGCCAGGCTTTGAGTGCAGAGTACAGCCTTCATATTAATCTACCTGTTCATATCAATCTACCTGAATCCGTCCTTGCCACCAACATTCGAACACTGCATGCACATGAGGTACAGTCACCCAGAAGCACGCAGCCGCATACCTTCACCACAAAGCCTCAATGTTCAGGGAGTCTTGATGCCCCCGCCTTCTCATTGTCGTTGAACAGCTTTTTCATTGTTGCCACCTTGCAAACAACTGCAACTGCTACTTAACTCGCTTCCCTTCTCCTTCATCGCAAAGTTTAACGTTGGGCTTTGAGTTCATGAGATGTTTCCAATTCCAATACTACTCGCAACAATATTCACCATCTTCTACAGACAAACCATGGCTGCAAAGGTGGTGTCGACGGTCGTCCGCCTCGGCGATATATCGTACTACATGCACCCTTTGGCCCCTTCTGTGAGGCCCAATGTGTTGTCCAAGTTTGAATGATTTTCTGACGATTCCTAGGATTCTCAACTGGACATATCGACTTTCGAACGTGATGCGGTTGCTGAAGCGTGTACTATGCTTACGATTGACGGTCAATTTCCTAGCACGGGTGAGCTCCAGGGCATCTTGGATGACTTTAGAGCTAAAGATGACGTCTGGTCGCGGGAATTCACTGGGGCCATAATTGTCCAGACGACCGACATTGAACGAAAACTCACGGGAGAAGAAAAGGACACTCTTCGTAGCCTTGGGGCTTGCAACATAGGTTTTCTCTACAGTAGCGAGCTGGAAGCCCAGCTTCCTCAGGGTCCTTATTTTCTGCATCACGGCCAACTTCATCAGGTTTACCGGCTGTACCCAGATACTGCAGATGCTTTTATAGTCTCTACCGTTCCAGATGATGGCGATGGGTGAGTATCGGGTCTGAAATCCCTGTCTTTAGTGGTTAGAGCTAACCGTTGTTGAAGCTTTCGATCTCTAGATGTTTCCGCGTACGGAGAACAGTTTCCATCCGCTCTCACTGTCGCCGTACCCTCTCGACTATACTATACCAAATCAACGGAGAAGCCGTATGCTGGTCTTCGCGTAGCAATAAAAGACATTATAGATTTGAAAGGGCTCAAGACGGGAGCTTCTTCGCGGGCGTACACGGAGCTCTATCCGGCCAAAGAAGAAAGCGCAGAAATAGTCCAGCGGCTTATCAAATTGGGCTTTGTGATTGTTGGAAAGCTAAAGACTACACAATTTGCAGATTCGGAATGGCCAACCAGAGACTGGGTCGACTACCATGGACCTTGGAATCCGCGTGGAGACGGCTATCTCACGCCCAGCGGAAGCAGTGCTGGCAGCGCTTCCGCTGTTTCTACGTATACGTGGCTTGATGTGTCCTTGGGCACAGATAGTAAGATTATTCCCACCGTTTATACATAGTAGTTGCTGACGTTCTTCATAGCTTTGGGGAGCATCAGATCACCTTCAGCAGCTCAGGGAATTTTCGGAATGAGGCCCACTCTTGGGGCCGCAAACACCACAGGTGTAGTCCCATACAGCTCGTATGTTTTCAATGGGTATTTTTATGAAGCATGTTTGTTGACATGTCTATAATCTAGCAACTGGGACACGGTTGGTGGATTTGCCCGCACGGCAGCGGAATTCAAGACTCTCGCACAAGCACTATACGGCTCAGCAGAGACCGAAGGAAAAGTTTACGAGGTATGCAGTTTACCAACATCTTCTCACCAATTACTAACATAGTTACTGTGAATAGAAGCCAAATAAGTTAATCTGCTTGGCCGACTACTGGCCAGTTGAGCATGAAGAAAGCCAGCGAGTCATGGAAAATTTTATCAAGCGCGTTGAAAGCTTTCTAGGAGTAAATCGTACGAATATCAATCTCGCAGACACATGGACTCGAACTCGTCCAGAAGGGACAGATGAATCCATCAGCAAGTATTTTCATCACGCCTTCGACTGGTCTGCCAACCGTGATCAGTGGACAGGACTTCTTCAGCCTTTCATCAAAGAATACACGCATAAGATGGGCAAACCACCCGTCCTCAATCCACAGGTTCGATTTAAAGTGTGAGTGAGGTAGCATGCATGAGTTGGTCAAAGTGTCTAACGTTTATACAGGGATTATACACCGACAGTAACAGCAGAGCAGAAGGCAGAGGGCGAGAGGCTTCTCAAAACCTACCACGACTGGTTCTATGAGCATGTGATGCCGCCTGCAAGGGATGGCTACTCTAGCAGTATCATCGTTCTCCCCTGGACGGATGGCCAGCCTGTCTACAGAGATGAGTATAAGAGCGGGCCACAAGAGTTTACAGGCCAGGGTTTCTTTTTTTACAACGTAGGCCCTTATGCTCAATGTCCGGAGCTCATTTTTCCTGGTGAGTAACAATCGCAGCATGTGCCCTGCAACTTTTATAGACTGTTCAACTTGTTTCACAAATCCTCTAGCGTTTTACTGACTTATGAGGTGCAGTCGGTACCACGCCATACACCTCGAAGTTCACGCAAAGGATCGAACAGCTTCCTGCCGCTGTTGGATTCATAGCTGCTAAAGGTAGCGACATCATGCTGGCTGATTTCGTCAGTAAACTCTTTGAGGATTCATATACTGTCATTGAAGCGGAGCAAGATCAAGCCCCTCTTACTTAGTATGTTTGCGGCATTCAATATCGCATGTATGCTTGATAGCCCATAGCACTCAGTTGACTTAATTGATGCGTCTACTATTATTTAATAGCAAATGAGTCATGCTCGTTGAGAAAGTGAAAATTGCGTAGAGTAGTCTCGCTGTCGAGAGAAATAAGCCGTTAGTTTTTAGCGACATTCAAAATGGTATATCTTCCAGAGACAAATGTTTGCGGCGCATGCACTGCGAGATAGATTACTACTATAGAGGTTCTAAGTAGATTCAGATTACTACTATAGAAGTTCTAAGTAGTATGGTGTTTAGATTATACGCGCCCAAAGTTTTATTGCATGTCTCATGTGACGGAGAATATTATCTCAGACTTCGTATGCGGCAATGTCTCAGAGCATGCTTGACTGGGAATACTACTATAGGTAATCTATTTAGTAATATAATTTGAGGTGAATGACTGAGAATCTTATCACAAAGTCCTAGATAGGGATCATATGAGTTAATCTATGAGTAATAAAACACTGGCCGCCGCCTTTCTATATATTTGTGTAAGTCATATAGAAGATAATTTGAAGAGGGTACTGGAGAGGAAAACGATCAATAAGAATGCAACTCGGTGATATACTCTCACGTCTCTGTTCACCTTGATATTAGACCTCACAAGAAAGCACGGGCTTCTTAGTAAGAGCCGAATCTGTCTTACGACTTCGCACGGCGGTATTACTCAATCAGCCTCACCTGCTCTCAGAAAGCAGCCGAGCTAGCATGATGTAACACAATATTATGTCATAATCTGTCTCATATTATATTACCTTCTTCGACAAGTAGGCTATTTGGGCGCTCATTTCCTCATGATGTACGTAAGAAGGAGATGCTCTATACGTCCAATTACTTATATAAGGGCCAGATCATCCCGCTTGTTGAGCTACTGAATCTCACTTTGCTCATAACTCAAGGCTATCGTGATAAAGTCTCATAATTTATATTCTACTCTTTCATTACATTCTTCTTCATCCATCATCATTATGAAAGCAACTGCCCTCGTGGCTCTCGTGGCTGGACTGCTGCCCATAGCTGGAGCCGTACCAGCGCAAAATGTGAACGTCACAATTCCATCTGGCACCATTATTGGTTCAGTGGATAATGGAGTCGAGTCGTTCAGAGGCATCCCTTATGCGGATCCACCAATTGGCGACTTGCGCTTCAAACCGCCAGTCAGGCTTTCGAGACACCTTGGGGAGTTTGATGCTACCAGGAAACCTGTAGCATGCCATTTGGGACCCATCTTTGGCCCATTTGCCGACACGGAAGATACGACAGCGACTTTTGCAGAAATCAACGTCGCGATCTCTGTTCTCAAAGACACCGCCGGCGATACGCCCTCTAACTTTGACGAGGACTGCTTGATAATCAACGTTCAACGTCCCCAGGGCGTTGAAGCCGGCGCCAATCTTCCTGTACTATTCTGGATTTATGGTGGCGGTTTTGTGGCTGGGAGCACCCCTCCGTTTGATGGTAAAAACTTGATCACGACTGGCGTGCAACTCAATCAGCCATTTGTCTATGTATCCGTCAATTATCGCGTCGGCGGCTGGGGCTTTATGCCGGGCGAAGAGATTCTTCGTGAAGGAAGTGGTAATGCAGGCCTGCGTGACCAGCGGATGGGGCTTGAATGGGTCGCCGATAATATTGCAGAGTTTGGAGGCGACCCAACGAGAGTCATAATTTGGGGAGAGTCTGCTGGAGCCATATCGGTGTTTGACCAGCTTGTTCTGTATGACGGCAATGCCACCTACAAGGGTGAAGAGCTTTTCCATGGTGCTATCATGAACTCTGGAACGGCTCTTCCAACTGATCCTCTGAATGGTCCCAAAGGGGAGGCTATCTACAGTGCAGTTGTCAAGGCAGCTGGATGTGAGGGCAAACCCGAGGGTTCGTTGAGCTGTCTTCGCGACTTGCACAATGACGACTTTGCCGCTGCAGCCAATTCCGTCCCTGGTATTTTCTCATATCCATCTCTTGCACTATCATATCTTCCGAGGCCAGATGGCACTGTCTTAACCGACAGCCCGGATGCACTGGCAAAGGAAGGGAAGTTCCATAAAGTGCCCGTGATTATGGGCTCGCAAGAAGACGAGGGAACAGCCTTCACCCTCTTCCAAGTCAACATGGGCACGGATGAGAAGATTGTCAACTATCTCTCGAAATATTACTTTGGCGATGCTACTATCGACCAAATCAGCGAGTTTGTCGGCACTTATAGCGATAAAATTTCTGACGGAAGCCCGTTCCGAAGCATCCTTCCAACCGAGCTCTATCCGGGCAAGAGGAGGATCGCCGCCATTCTTGGTGACATGGTCTTTGACCTGATGCGGCGTGTTACGCTTCAGATTTTTGCTGAGAACCACCCAGAAGTACCTTCGTGGTCCTATCTCTCCTCATACGACTACAACTTGGGCCTCAATCCCGTTGGCACTAAGCACGGGTCAGATATGCCTGTTTTCTTCAACGGCTCCAATGACGACCTCCCTACAATCAGTGGCCGGACATACTATCTCAACTTTCTCTACGAATTGGATCCAAACAACGGCACTCAAGTAGATGTACTTTGGCCCCAGTGGAAAGAGGGTCGCCAGCTCTTGTGGTATAATAAGAAAAACAACAGCCTCAGAAACGATACATATAGGGAGAGCAGCTATGATTTCATGTTGAAGAATATCGATTCTTTACGCTTTTGATCATAAAACTCCAGTTTGAGAGCTATGGAAGACTCAGCGCGATTTGAATACGACTATATCTTCTGGTCCAGTCAACGTATGTCACAATCCAACTCATTCAAGGTCGTTGACAGCAGTTCTGTTGGAACTCAGAACTGAACAACACCGCGGGATAAATCAGATGTGCGCAGATAAACTGAGATTGGATAATGAGGTTCACTTCACTACACTCGTTTGGACTATGTAGATAGTCAGTTGTTAGTATTATATTAATTTTCACTTTAGTGATGCTGCGTCCAAGTCAGCACTGCTAAAGAGAGCCTTTGGCAAAGATGAGTATTCTCGAGTTAATATAACACCCCATCATCAATTTCAAGAGTTCACCTAGATATGGGTCGTAAGCGATGTTCTAGATAGTTATCGATGTCGCGTAATCTGGCCTCGGGACTTGCAGCTGCATCCAGCAAGTGAGCAGATCCTATCTCTCTCCAGCACTCTATCGGCAACGCCACACCCATCTGTAGATAACGGGTAATTTCATGTCTACCGAAGCCAATCGAAAGCTACCTAGTCTCAGCAACCCCTGCATTCTGCTGCCAGCATAATGTCTCTAAGTAAATACGTGTACTTTCTTCTACCCCCAATAGATGCCTAAGATGCCGCAACTACAGCACCATACAGCATCACACAACACCTAATTAAAAGACTATAATTTTACAATATCAATATAAAGACCTTGTACAGATTTCATCGAGACGACATGTCCTCCACGGGGAAAATGTGCCCATGATTCGCCGCCACGCCAATTGCTGACGCCCCAAATTGAATTCACCGAATCTATTCTCCGAGCTCATTCGCCGCGCTCATTCTCAGGCTTACGGCGCGCCTACGCGAATCCGGGGCTCCGGCATGGGTGACCTTCCCGTTGAGGATTTCCCCTGTAGACCTGGCCAAATCTTGATGTTCCACCGCATATGAGCCTGGGCAACGAGAAATGACGTCCAGGGGGCTGTATGAGTCGTAACATGGCTGTCTGCAGGGCAAATGGAAACGAGATAGTGCAAGCCAAAGCAAGCAGCCGATCCACACCCTATTGAATAATATGACCTGTAAGCACATGTACCTATTCGCCGCCCCTTCGCCCCTAAGACGAAGATTTTGTTGCCGAGGTAAAGGCCGAACGAGCACAACTCGACCACATTCTTTCATTGCTAGGTTCAAATTAGCTAGGAAAATATTATAGATTGCGCTTGTCTAGTGAAAAGACTGGTATATAAATAAATTTCCGAAAATTGTAACCGATCGCAAGAAATGAGACCCAGTTTCGCTCTACGTCTTTGCTCATATCAACATTAAAATTTAATAAATGACGCCAAATCTTTTGACTATGTAATAAAAAAAAAGAAATCATAGCGTCTCGTCGGAATGATCAGACCGATTCGAGTGATGGCTCTCTGGAGCATTCGCCCGGACTCGAGTCTCGATGTTCGACACCAGTCCTGTCTCGTCGTGGCCCAGCTCGATGGCGTTGTCGTCAATGGTCTTGTCGATTACCGAGCTATCGACGTGATATGATCTCGTCAAGATGATGTCGCCGTGGCCGCTGACGCTCGTTTGACCGGGGTTCTTGAAGTATGAGGAGCCTCGAGCGCGTTGGACGTAGAGGGTACTGACGGCGGGGAGACAGGCGCATATTAAGCCGATACCAACCTCGGCGTTACTGGTTAGACATTTCGTCAGCTGTGTCGTTCATAATCTTCACCGTAAATATTAAAGGGATAGACTTTACCCTGACAAAATGACTTTGATAAAGACCATCGTCATGTTTGCAGACTTGCCCTCATCAACAATCATCGCTAAGCGATAAATGCTAAAGCCTGTGGCAACTCCACCAGCACATAGCAGTCCTGCTACGCGGAATCGTTTTCGTCGAGGTAGCTGGAGCGACCAGGTAAGGGGTGTTGGCAGTAACAGGATGGCCAAGTCGCTGATCACGCTGATGATGGAGTCGGCTGTAACGATGGCGCTCTGGTCCAAGCATTTGCTGGTATCCCCCTCCCAATATGCGTGAATCGGCCAGCAGATGAAGATCTTGATGAAGAAGCCGGAGACGTAATACGCCACGATCATACCGATGAAGATGTAGATTCCGATGAGCGTTCGACGATGGACGGAACCAAAGACTCGGATGATGATGATAAGCAGAGCCAGTTTGACGGTCATGGCCATCGGGGCGTAGAAGATCGTGGCCGCATAGCAAGACTTTCGAGTAATCGTTAAACTACTGTACTAGGTGTCAAGGAGAAGAGTGTTGCATATTGGCTCTTACCTTGAAGTATAACTGAGCTTGCTCCTTGGAGACTTCCCACATGTTAAGACCTCCGCCATGTGAACCAGCTAAATCATTATGAGCGGTCGTGTTGCGAAGTTGTCAAGGGCAAAGGGTTGAAGACTGCACTTACCAAAGCACGCGGTGATGCAGTACCCTATCATGAGTATCTAATCCGCGTATTAGTCTTTATGCTCCACCATATGTCATCTTTGAGGCATCATTAGGCTGCATACATAAGCCGCGTACGTTGCATCTGTTTCCTCAAGTCAGCTTCTCCCGGTACGTGGACCACTTTGATACACATCAACCCACAGTCATCTGCCGTAAAACCTCCTCCCAGCAACCTGGTTTTTGCGTAAAATCGTATCCCAACAAAGATGGAGACAAAGGTTATTGTCAAGGCTTGAGTGACATAATTCACAGTCCTCAGCACGTCCTGTGGGTGAGCAAGATCAGGGATAACGCCCTCGGGCGGCGGAGCAGCACCGGGAAAGCTCATGATGGGCAAAACTTCATGATTCTGCAAACTCGCAGGACAGGTCCAGAAGTGCCGAAGGCAAAAGGAGCGAGTGCCGGCAGTTTAAATGAGCACACTAACTTGCGCGGGAGGGAAGATCAGAAGATAAAAGGGCCAACAGAGCTAATCCTGATGTAACTGGCTTCGTTTGAACCAGGAAGACGGGAAGAAGACGACGAAATGGAAAAATATCCCTGCCCATGCGGCACTCCGCGGCCGGTTACACCAGCTTGACCAGGTCCCATCCACTTCCCTTACAACCTGTCAGCCTCAGACACTTGCGCATTGTATTGGGTCCTCTGGATATGTCGTTTAGCTGAACATCCAGTTGACGAACATGACAACCAGAGTGGGACCGGGCTAGGGACCCGAGCCGTTGTGGATCTGCCTGCCAACGCCAGATAAATGAGGACAAGCATGGTGCTGCTGAAGAAATGTCAGACAGGGGTGGCAACGGTGAAGAGAGAGTCCCTGTGCGAATCGGAAACCGAAGTTAGACTCCCGGGAGGCAAAGGCTATCAACCAACGGCACACTAGGCAGAGCAACTGGCGTATATACTAGTCATGGACCCTGCGATGACATGATGTTCAAACGGAACGTTTCGGTTACGCAGCATCCAGCACGAGGCATCTCGACAAAAGGACTTACAGGGTTCAAGCATGTGCGATAGCTGGGGGAGCAGGCCCGGGGGCGCATGGACGAACTGACGCCCAAGTCACACCGCAACGCCATCATGGAGAAGGACATGGTTTAAAACGGCTGCCATGAATATCGTTTGCTCATTGGAAAACCGATCGTGTACTTTGGGAAAGGCACCGACCTGCGATGCTACCGCTGTGGAGTCTATTAGTGGAGTGCGCTGCAACAAATTTCTCTCATATCCATGTCGGCAGTTTGGCTATGCTCTTTTCGAGATTCAGCCGTCGGCTTCGGCCAAGGTCAAAGGGGCCATAGATGCGGTTGGCAGTTAGTTTTGTTATTTGCACAGCTTAGGGTTGCAAAGACTTCCAGGGGACCCTCTCTTCTTTGGGGCTATGAGCGTCGCCCTCCTTTTCACTTTGGCGCGGCCTCCCCGAGTCATTCTGTCCAACAGATACCTAGCTGCGTGCCTTGTATTTATTTTGAGTAATGTTATCTGTCTCACTTGACTCTTCTTTGTCCCAGTAAACTGTGCAAGGCGTTCATCATACACCACAGGCAAAAAATGGGTTCTCAAATTAACGTTGGAAAGGATTCGAAGTTGTTCGAGCCGCTTGCGATTGCAAATGGGAAAATCACTCTCAAGCATCGAGTTGTCCTTGCCCCCCTGACGAGAAACCGTGGGACGCCTCTTCATGCTTCGACGCCTGAAAATCCAAATCGGATCTGGGTTCCCAACGATCTTATTGCAGACTATTATGCACAACGGGCAACGGATGGGGGGCTTCTCATTAGTGAAGGCATTCCGCCATCACTGGAAGTATGTCATCCCTTGGATACCACATAGAGTGGCGCTGAGTATAAACGAAAGACAGGGTAGTATTGACATTAAGCTGTTTAGGGAAATGCTATGCCTGGAGTCCCAGGAATCTTTCTGGAAGAGCAGGCCAAAGGGTGGAAGAAGGTTGTCGATGCAGTTCATGCCAAAGGCGCTTATATTTATGCACAGCTCTGGCATTCTGGCCGCGCCAACATCCCACAGCTAACAGGGACCCCGATTGTAGCGCCGTCGAGCATTCCCTGGGATGATGCAAACGAATGTTTCATGTATCCCGCTCCTGATGGAACTCCCGTCAAGTACAGCGACCAGCTGCCTCTTGAGCTAACAGTGGATCATATTAAGAAAACCATCCAAGACTATTGCGCTGCTGCAAAGACAGCCATGGAAATTGGCTTTGACGGCGTGGAGCTTCACGGAGGGAACGGATACTTGCCGGAGCAGTTCTTGAGTTCCAATATTAATAAGCGAACAGATGAGTATGGCGGAACGCCTGAGAAGCGTTGCAAGTTTGTTCTCGACTTAATGGCCGAGTTGGCTGCGGCTATAGGAGAAGACAACTTAGCTATCCGACTTAGTCCTTTTGGTCTCTTTAACCAAACACGCAGCGAGCAGCGTCTTGAGACATGGGGTCACTTATGTCGTGAGCTAAAGAAGAGCCATCCCAAGCTCTCATACGTTAGCTTTATTGAGCCGCGATATGAGCAGATCTTTTCTGAAGCCGAGAAGCAAAAGTTCTTAAACTCTTGGGGACTTGCAAAGGTCGATCTGTCAATGTTCCGCGACATCTGGGGAGAAACGCCCTTCTTCTCTGCTGGCGGCTTTGACCATGCCACTTCGTGGGGGATTATAGAAAGCGGCAGATATGATGCTTTACTTTACGGGAGATACTTTATCAGCAACCCGGATCTGGTTGAGAGGCTGCGGAATGGCTGGCCGCTGGCCCAGTATGATAGGTCTCGCTTCTATGGACCCTTTGAGGACCCGGCAACCGGGTTTACGGACTATCCGGCCTACAGCATGAAGAAAGGATCGATGGTCTGAAGACGAATGAGTAAGGATGTGAGAATGTTGTTGGTTGTGGATGTAATCTCTATTTGGGGGCAATAATCTGTGTTTCATAGCAACAGAAGTAGGAATAATATACCTTCAATGTTTGCAGAACTGCCATGACCAAAACCAGCGGCAGGATTATCGCGAGTCAGGGCGCACGACAGCGCCATCACATGTGCTTGCCGTGCCGACTGAGCGTATTCGTCTGGAAGAAAAAGCGGCAACGGATCGCCCATCAACCTCAACCATGTGCTTTGCCGAGCCTTTTGCCCGCCAAGAGACTTCGGCTATCGCTGCTGTACCAATTTTCGGGCCACGAGAGAGTGATCGACACATCGCAAGCTCGTATTGAAATTGAAACACCGGGCTACAGCCACTGACGGAGTCAACGGGAGCTTCTAGCGGTTGCCGGGTCCACATGAAATCAACTGACAAGCAAGGGTAACTGAACCCCTGTTCACAGCTTGAGTGCGCGACTCAGACTGCGGGTACATACTTACGCAATCGCGTGCAGCGCTTGCGAAGCCATCTCGATGAAGCTCATAGGATGGGATTCTCCTACGTCTCTGAATCAAGGCGCATGACTTCATTTCGATAGACGGCTTGATCGCCCTGTATGCTTCATGCAATTGTCCTGTGCCGTGTTACATGCTTGCTGCATGCACTGGTTGGTGCTTCGTATGTGCTCCATAATGTAAATCATGTGCGCACAGACGTCAATCCCCATGATTGCCCCCTCGTGGGAAACTGGGTAAATAATGGCGATATGATGCGTATATGGAGTAATAGCAGGCTGAGTGATCAAGGATCGTTTCCCCAGTATCCGCACTGCATTCTTCGCCATGCGCCGATATAACTTATCCGTGCTTCTTGAATCTAAGATGGTCAGATAAACGAGGAATAAGCTAAACGGACGGATATGATGTGTAACGATGCCATGGATGGAGACATCGGATCACCTCGGAGGCGCCGAAAGGCAAAAAAAGTGTAAACGGAAGGCACTCCGTTTATATTCTGGGTGTTATTATACTTTTGCACGCACTCTAAACAGTATTCTCATCATGGTATCGACATGTTAGTAAAGGGTCAACTGTTCAATTCTTCTCTATCAACAACAAGCGCCTAAAGGTTGAAAGTAACAGTCACTCGAGGAAAAGGGCCTCACGGCGCCAAGCTGTCTAACAGTATCCTAATTCGTACCCATTGCCAATCGGATTCATTCTGCCGTTTGCTTTATACAGCTGTCTTGCTAGCCCTGATCATGTCCCCGTAATATGCCACCTTTAATAAACGCCGCCAGTCATATTGTGAGGGACATTGATACCCTCCCAAACGTCACTTAGCCAGTCAAGTGTGACCTGCGCAACCTGTGCTTCTGCTCCAAGCTGGCAGTGCTCGCCAGCGCCCAAATCTGTCTTGAATAAGTTGTAAGTGGCTTTCCTCCTGAGAAATTGCATCATTTCTTGGGCCTGCCCCGGTGCCGAGCTGTCATTCTCTCCCTCGCCAATGAGCACCGGGCAATGAATACCGTTGGCCACAGTTTGGTCAACTTTAAAGTCTCGCAGCTTTGTTAACCACTCGAAGGGACTTGTAGTTTTGAAAACCCACAATGACTGGGCAATTATCCATCGGAGCTCGGTTGGCATAGCCGGATTGCCAATAAAGGAAAGCAACAGTGCATCAAACTCTGTCTTATTGCCACTTTCGAAAAGGGAGTTGATCTGGGGCGGAAACTGGCTTTGAAGGGCGCTGAACAAGTCAGTAAGTCCGTCAATTGCCACAACAGCCGACAGACGGTCTTCACGAGAGGCCGCAAGTGGTGCCAATGTCCCGCCGAATGAGACTCCAATGAGACCAATCTTGTCCATATCCACGTCGTGACGCTTTGTTAAGTAGTCGACAACAGGAGTGACAACTTCCCACCAGTTGTGGATGAATCCCAGTCCTTGCTGCCGGCGAACCGTTGGCTGGCCTGGACCTTCGTATGTAATGAAGTTCCAGCCACGGTCGAGTATCGCACGACCAATAGAGTGGTAGAGCTCTTCTTGTGAGCCATCGTATCCACTGCCTACAATTACTGTAGGACGCTTCGTGGAATTGAAAGGACTTTGTTGATGGTTGTTGGGTGTATTTACTGAACTTTGGGCAGAGTAAAAGATGGCAGGTATGGTGAAATTATTGGCTGGGATATTCACTCGCTCGGCCGGGACTGGAAGCAGAGAGATGGCTTTGTCAAAGTCTCCCAAAGCAGAATCCCAGACTGAATAAATCCGTGGATCGCTTATGTTGGCGTACAGGAATGTGGTAGCAGCGCGGTAGTAGGTCGCAGATCTGAAGTATGCTTCACGAGCCGATACAGGAAAACGCTTGGCATTGATGGCTTCTGCTTTGCCGTGTATCTGATTCGCTAGAAAGATGAACTCTCTGTACCAGCTGTCGAAGTCGCCGGGAATGATCTGACTAGCAGCTCGGAGAACTTCACCAGTGTTCGCCCCGAAATTGTTGGAATGAGACAGTGTAGCTTCCAGCATAAACGCAAACTCTGTGTCATTGCTCAAGGGGAATATAGCAGATCCGTTGGAGCTGACTTGGGCGGCCTATAGAGATCAGTATATTATACAAGCACTGGGATGACGCAACTTACAACGCCCATAGCCAAGGTTCCGACAGTCAAGATAATGTCCGGGTATCTCATATTGCTTGTTTGTATCTGTTCATAGATGTTAGAAGAAATGAATGGTTGAATGTCGCCTTTTATATATCATTTGCGTTGCATGGCAGCTCGAATCAGAATCTCCTTTTGAACTAGTACGGTCTGTTCGGAGTAACATCATTCAACGTGATTACGACGACAGGATGTACGCGGCCAAGTAGCTACAACTTGTGCCTCTTAATATGCATAATGGCTCTATTCCCTGCTCCGAAAGCTTGTATCGAAGCTTTATTTCCTGCGTCCGGATTTGCCTTAACACCAAGACTTGCAGCTCGCATAGGATCCGCGATCAATTCCATTCTTTACAAGGCTTAGTATTGTGGCGGGGAACACTCATTACGAATACTTGTTTAATTCAAAAGTGATAAGTGAGATCGAGTTCCGACTAGCATAGGGGCGGAGAGCGTCAAAATTGACAAGGGAGATCGGCACCTACACAGCTTCTTCACCGATAAATGTAAAACAAAACATGACGACTTCGGCGTTGCGTAGAGAATGCCATAGATAATGGAACCTGGCATTATCATCATTAGTTTTATTTATCTCATATGCTATTTAAAACACACTGTCTTATTGTATATAGTACAAACTTTTATTATTTCTCTAAATATAGATGGATAGTTCAAATACTTATGATCATAGGTCTCCAAGGTAAAAGAGAATTGCGAAAACCCAAGACAGAATTCCAAGGCCCCACTTGGCTATTTCTCAAGCTACCTAAATAGGAAAGCCTTTCGAGTTGACTGTGATGTTTCAAAGTCTAAGCGTCGAGAAATAGGCCCAAGAAACGGTGTGCAGATCCTTCAATAGGGCCCTGTTGAGCTGTGCAAGTGTACACGTATTCTAGGCGCATTTTTCTCTTAATTTCCTTGCTGTTTCCGCTCTGGCTGCGCTACTGCTTCCCCTAAAAAGTAAGCTTGTTGTTTAACAGCGGGCCTATTGACGGCAGCCCCGTGGCGGATTCGTCTCATCCTGCTTATCCCGAATTGGACGAAAACGAGAGCGAGAGCGAAGATTGGGCTGTACAAGGCAGAAATGTTTCGTGGCCGCCAGTCAGAATGAATTGCTATTTCATGCAAGTAACTCAGAGTTAACTAGGTGTGCGTAATTGAACAACATTGAGCCACAGTCAACCAATTCTCGTAATGCACCTTTCTGGGGATAAATGCAATGGATTTGTGAGTCAAAAGTGCACCACAGTATTGAGCCTGCTGTTCCTCCTTCATCCGCACCTGTATTGCTGTCCTATTCCTTCTGGCATGGACTTGAGGTCTTGGAGATTTAGATTTCTCCAATTGCCTATGCCATTCTCGCCGAATGCGGACTATTTTCGTTTAAATAGCAAGCCATCTGAATATGACATATTCTTGGACATTCTCTATAACAACATTGATCCTTATGTGTCTCAGTGTCTGACACATAGGATCGAAAAACACAGCTAGCGGCCTATCGCCGACACGGGCCAATAGAGTAACGAAATCCCATACTAAATATATGTCAAAAGTGATATATAATTGAGGGCTTCTTAGAAATGAAGATAATAGAGGCATCCAATAATTGGCTTAGCAGGCGTAGTGCCAGTTTCAAGACCCCACAAACTCCTAAAGAGAATCCTCCGCTGGAAGATCTACCCGACTTTAGCGTTCAGTTGCGTCAGCTATCGAATATGATATGGGGACAGTTTCGGAATCGAAGCTTTCCATTTTCGATAATTCCAGGACCAATCGCTGCTGGAGATCCTCGCATGGGAGAGTGTATTATGTTCCTTGATCTTTACCGTAAAGCATCAAATACATAGTCATTACTAGCGATGAAATACATCTGCGAAAATCCTAAAGCAGTGTGAACGGCGGCATTGCATTCTGGCTAGGTCGGCACTGGGATCAATCCTACTTGTCTTCAGTAGCAAAGGAGCGACGTTAGGCATACCGTAGGCAATGTCCGGTCAGCCTTAGGAGCTGTAGTGCCCGAAAAAACAGGCAAATCACCGCCTTCAAATCGCTTAGCCGTCACTTTCTTACGTTGCCTGTCAGGGGGCTTTGGCTGAGCCCCTGCGCTGCCATCTCCGTGCTATGCCATTTTGGGATATCCATTCGACGACTCCAAGATCCAGGGTCTCAGCAACTCTTTCAAGACGAATACATGCATTCTTTTTCTGAAAGGATCTGAAGCGCCTGTGCTTTTGCAACTGTTGAAACGAATATGTATTATAAAAGAGGCCTCCATTACCTGGTGCAATTGCCACTAATGGTGCCTTGTTCATTCGTCTCAGACACCACTTATATACATGTATTTATAATACGCGTGTTGAGCCATTCTCTATCTTGGTTTATGCAGATTGTTATTAATACAACAAGCTCATTTTCCCTTTCTTTTATTCTATTTTACGGATATTATCATATTTTCCTTCAACATGGGCTCAAAAAACCACACATGCCCATCGCATGATCTCTCCGAAAGTAAGTATTACAGCATGACATGAGTACATGGCTAGATGTATGTAACTAACATCAAGATTGCAGATGCCACTGAAGCAATTTTCGGGTCCATCACCTTCTTTCAATTCGACAAAATCTTATCTGGGAGCTGTGTGGCAGTCGCGTGTATCGTCATCTTCATTCATCTCTTCAGCCACGCCAACCGACTTTGTAGTCCTAGCGAACAAGTCAAGTATATTCTGCCCTTTTCCTATCTCATAGGCCTATAAAAACTAATATTGGTCCCGCAGGATTATGAGAATTAGCCTTCTAGTCCCCTTCTATTCCCTCTTCTGCTTCTTGTCAATCTGCTTCCCCGAGGCAGATGTCTATCTCGACCCATGGCTTGAGGTCTTTCAGGCAAACTCATTATGTGCCTTCTTCCTTCTCATGTGCGACTTCATATCGCCCAACTCTGAGAAACGAAGCGATTTCTTTGCGAAAATGACAGTCTTGGATAAAAAGTCGCAAGCTGGGAAAGTCGGCGGACTGTCTTGGTTTCGAGTAAGTCGGAATGCCTACTGCATACAAAGTGGGGAGTCCAACTGACAATTCTTCGTTTAGAGTCGCTGGATAGCGGTCTTTCAGTATCCAATTATTGCGTTGCTGTCGGCAATTGCTACCGACATTTCAGAGGCAGTGGGAACTTACTGCCAATACAAGATCGAGCCATATTATACGAGGCTGTGGGTATGTCAACTTCAACTCTGTACTGATTCTCACAGCTTGACCTACTGCTAACCACCTACCTATGAATAGATTACTATTATCTCGCAAACTTCACTTACAATCGCCGTCATGTCGGTCCTCGTGTTCGTTAAGACATTAAAGTCTGAGCTTGCTGTTCATAAACCTATGCTGAAGCTAGTTGCGTTCAAGCTTATAGTATTTCTGAGCTTCGTGCAAAGTGTAAGAATTTTGTTTATCCTATAGATTACTCATTCTAAAGTCAGATGTGGAGGCTAACGTCAATCTCCCTCAGATTATCTTCTTGATCTTACAAAATACTAGCAGCCTCAATCCCACGTCGAAGCTTACATATGCCGATCTCCACATCGGAATACCTGCGTTACTTAGTTGCATTGAGATGGTGCCCATCTCCGCATTCATGGCATGGGCTTATTCCGTGCAACCATACTTGCTTGCCCGCGGTGCTGATATCGAGGGATCAAGTGGTCACGCAGACATTCCAAGATCTTACCAAGGAGGCTTCCTTGGTATACGTGCCTTTTTAGCCATGCTAAATCCTAGAGAGACGATTGAGGGGATTGTCTTTGCTTTCTACATGATCACTAAATCCCACGAACCCTCTGGCTCTTCTGACTTTGGCCATGATCTGGATCATACTTACCATTCCAACCACGGCATTATGCGGAGCAACCAATCCGGATACCAGGCTCTAAATGGGGAAAACAACGCATTTTAAAGTATAGCATGCGCCACCTGTATTGAATATATGTAAGACTCGGGGATAGAAAAAAGAATTTAGAACGTAAGACTACACAAAACTCTCACTTTAAGCATCTCATATTAAGCAATAAAAATAGAATTATTTAGAACATCTTTGAGAATTTGCTCGATTCTGTCTTCTTCAACATACCTCTTACACCTTGCGTTGGCTCGGCTTGGGACTTTAAAGCGGGACCAGGACTTATAGGGAGTTGGAGAACCGAACTCAATTTCTTAGCAGCCCATGTCAGTCCTGCCTGCTTTGCGAAGTCAATGGCGGATTTCGCTTCATTATCTGGGATTTCTGCTGCAGCACCCGCCTCCAACAGATCATCCAGCACCTGCTTCAAGCTTTCAGATTGCGGACATCGGAAAGTAGGTGAAATTTGCGTAATTTTCTCATGTAGAGTACCAAGACCGTCTTTCCAGTCTCATCTGTTGCGTTAACATCAACCATTTTTGAATCAACCAGTAGCTTGACTTGCGTGGAGCGTCTGTCACTATTCAAAGCTGATTGCAATACCGTATATTTTATGGAGTCTTTGTAATTTGCCATTTCATTGCGATCCGGGTACCATTTCATTGGCTTGTTGACAGTCTCCTCTGTTCCTGTCACTCCCACAGCTATGTATAGGGCGGTTTGATTGGTAGCAACTCCGTACCAAGAGTCTACAGCAAAATTCTACATATCCGCTCTCTCTTGATGAAGCGAAAACCAGTGAAACTGAAATTATTGATGACTTACTATATGGTTGCTAGCTCGATATAATCGAGGTAAATATAATATACGAGGTTGTACGAACTCAGCGAGAGGCCTAGAATTTAGAACGTATCACACAGACCGACTTTTTGCGTCAATAAAGCACAGCTACCGAACAAAACAACGAGATGAACATTGATCGGGCAGAGATGCCGTAAGGTTTGATAGGACGGTTTGCAAGGGGGTTCTCGGCCGTAAATACGGCGTAACCATTACACACCGACTCAAGACCGAGATAATGATTAATTGGACGGAGACGCCGGTAGAATAAATGTTTATGCAAGGTGGGCCCCAGAGCTGAACATTGGCCTGGACATCCATTGGATAGAAATGTCTCAGGAAGCGAGAAAGAGCAAGGATCTTTGCAGGAAAATTTCAGCCATATGCACTCCAGCTGGACTAGCCCCCAAATATTTCACTGGGTTATGACGTTCTTGGATATTAATTAGGTATCCGTGCGTGGTTGGGCTCATATCAACGAGGCTGTGATGCTACCTCGTAGTGGTGGCACGGCGCTATTGATGCTGCGAGGAGGTATTGCTTCAGGCCACCGCTGACGTAGCATATTATTTCGAAGACTATGCATGTCTATCCTCCGGTACATTCCTTTGAACTTTCGTATCCCACCCCCCCTGGCTTGGTACACTGCGTAGCACAACAAGAGTGATGCGCCTTGCTGTAAGACTTCAGCTCTGGCCATACACGATAGCCGCATAACAGGCATACTTGTAATGGATAATAAAAATCAATGCCTGCCGTTCTTAAGAGGCGATAATATTACTAACGTGGACCATCACCATTGGTCGACCAAGCCTTTTCATTGTACCAAATATGGCCCCCAAGGGATACATTCACCTAGGTAAGCTTACAATGCGTCAGAAGTATGCATCTATTTGGGTGCTAAGGTAAGAGACACGTAATTTAAACGCCAAACGAGTTGTTGAGAAGGCCCATGTACGCTGTAACGATGAGGCCAGTTGATAAGTTTCGCCATAAATGATGTTTAAATGTACTGCATTATCCCAGATATGTCATTGCAACTTGACAAGCAATATCCACAGCTACGTTTGTAAAGTTCCGAGTAAATTTAGGACTGAGTTGGGCCATTAATATATAGTTGTATATCAAGGTTGTAAATGTATTGTACAAGCGTATGCATAATGTAACTTTAAACACTTGCACTGGTAAAAGCGTCAATTTGCAACCACTAGTGCCATAAATTCCTCCAACAAGGAAGAAGACGAAGAAGAAGGAAAAGATAAATCAATTCGGTAGAGCTTGGTCCTCAATTGTTGACAACATTCGCTCCTGAAATAAATACGACAAGAACAGTGGCATATCTATAAGCCCAGTATCATGATTCACACCAGTCAGTAACTAATTTTATCAATCACTTGGATTTACAGTGACCTGGTAGTAGAGTAGTTGAGGGTAAACATACGTTGTGCCAGCTATAACCAAATCAGAGAATTTCATCCTCTTTCGGGCAATAAGCGACAAGATAGCAATAAAAATAGCCGTGGTGGCAACAATAAGGATTATTCTGTATGTCAAGTTACTCACGAAATTGCAAATAATAACGGGAGTAAAAAGAAGCACCGATGTAAGAGCCGCTTGGAAAACCCGTATTATTTGCCTCAATAGTTCCGGCACGTTTCGTATTCCAGCCATATTAATGGGGAAGTAATTTTCGATCACATCGACTTGCCTTTCTGACCAGCTATTATTCCCTAAAGGGCTGAAAAGATCATCGCGACTTAGATAGGCTCTTTCGTCCACTGCCAGTGACCCATTATTGCGATGCCAGTTTTGGAGATTTGAAATAGATCGGTCTTGGGCAGTGTCGGACATGAAAACTTGATGCTGTCTGGCTAAAAAAGAATCTTTGTCATTGTTAGTACTTTTCAAACTTTTAATGAAATGGCGATTGATAATACCATATTCTCCTAAGGCACTATCAATCCGCTTGAGAACTCTTTTTCTTTCTTCATTCTGGTCAATGCGATTGCTTCCTAGGAATATAGGGAGAATATTTGCGTCTCGAGCATCTATATCCTCTAGCTGCTCCTCTAGTTGCGAGAGCTCATCCTGTTTCAGGAGAAGCAGGCGCGAACGCAAGACCGAAAACCGGCGCCAAACTTGGAATGACTTGTTGGAGGCAAGTAGTGCAGAATAACGAGGATACCCGGGTGGGTAACCTATGATTTTCGACTGAAGCATGTTTAGTTAGTATTTTACTACATGGTGTATCAAGCGAAGTGCTCAGAATCAAGGCTCATATGTACCACGAACTTCATAACTGTCCCTTTTTCCGACCGCTCTTGGCAAGCCAAGGTAATTATCTGATTCAGATGGTGTTGACTTCGAGATTTCTTGGGTCTCCACCATTGTGGGTTGGGTTGAAAGGTAAGAGTTCGTCGTTTCAATTTAGAGATGCCTCCAGGCAAAATACTGAATGGTGCCCTCAGTGATTGATGAGGGCTGGCTCCCTACGCGCTGAAGCCGCTGGGTGCTTCGCATGTATTTAAGGCTTTGGATTGGTACGGACTACATGTACATTGTACCTATATGCGCAAGGGTCGTCCCTGTATGTATCTAGTAGGTACCCAGTGAGAGGCTGCGTAACATCTCTAATGGATGCTAAGAAACCGTGCACGGGTTGCGGTACAAGGCGGTGGACCCAACATTGCGGCCTGACCCCTCACCTCGAGCTACTTGGATAAGATATATGCATGTTTATCTTCTTCTTCTTCTTTCTTTCTAATTTAACATCATTTGAGCCGTGCAATAACTTGATATTATAATATCCAACATGGAAGTCCAACCCCCTAAATACATGTTGAATGCCATTCTAATTTTTCTTTCAGGCCTGCTATACCGCCAGCTTCTTCTGTAAGCGCAGTAGCCTTGGTTATATGAGGCATTTCTAATTATCATAAGCCTCCGAAGTTCAAATATGGTGAAAGAGTGCAATTTGAGAACCAGGAGTACACTATAGCCTCTTTTGATCCGGCAGCAGACGAATACGCGATCTTCTTGGTTAAGAAAGTTAAAAAAAAAGATTTAGAAAGACCACCACTGGAAGACCAAAAGAAAGAGGGACAAAGAACGCAGTCGAATAATGCAAGCTCTTCGGGATCGCAGAGTGGACAGAAAACTACTTAGGGGCGGTCCTTCAAATGATAGAAGCCCATGTGGGCCTGGTTGGCTGTGGATTTGCTATCAAACAGATATGGCATGAATTTGTAGAACACGTATCATAATACTTCTTAGATAGATAGGTACGTGTATATAGCTTTCAATGCCTGTGTCCTAACATCCTCCACTTGCCTATGTTTTTACTCAAGTGTATAGGTGTACCGTATTCGGTTTTTGAATTAAACACAACTAATGTTTATAATATTACATACCTATTTAATGTGGACGCGTTCGCTTTTCCGGCTTTTTTGGGCTTCGAGTGAAAGTATATGCTGAGTACATTAGATCAAGGGCATGCAGCCTTATACGAGGATATCATTAGCTGAAGTAGCCCTATTGCTCTCTGATAAGTGATACACAAGTCTGATGCCCGCTAGAAGTGTTCATATGGGCGAGCAAAGCTGCTCGCCTTGATTGAACGAAGCCGCCTTTTTGATCGAAGCCGAGGGCATTCCTTGATGTAAAGGGCCTTGTAGATGATTTCGCCAATGCCGAAGTCTCTACGATATCAAGGAGTGGGATTGAGCTGAGAGAAGCTTCCTCACTCATTTTTGGAGGTGCCTCCAGGTGAAAACCTGAGTGATGCCTTTGGTGATAAATACAGAGTTGTCTCTCTACATGCAGAAATAGCTTTGAGAAGTTGCTGGGTGCTAGGCATGATTTTAAGGCCTTGGGTACGAAGTACGTATAAGAAAGTGGGCGGGTAACTAACATCTCTATTGGATGCCACATAAGTTGAGTAACAGCTTCGATACATGTATATGCGTGTACAAGAAGGTGACCCTCGCGGCGAGTAATATAAAGGCACGTGTATCTCAGCCGCTGCCTATTGTCAGCTTTATCTTCTTCTTCTTCTTCTTCCTCCTCTTTCCTAATTCACTCAATTTGACATTTGAAATAACCTGAAACGACTGTTATTGCAATAATCTTCAACATGAAAGTTGACCCCTTCATGAAACTTGAACGACATTCTAATTTTTCTTTAGGGCTAGTATACGAAAAGCTGCCGATGTGAGTGCAGTAACATTGGTTTGCGAGGCATTTCTAATTCTTAAAAGCCTCCGAAGTTCAAACATGGCGAAGAGGTAAAATTGGGGGGGATTGAATACACTGTAGTCTCTTATGATCCAGGCACAGAAAATTATACGATCAATTCTCTCAAGAAGGTTGGACAAGACAAATTAGAGGCTGTTCTGCGACAAACTGTTGTTGGAAGTGCAGAGGCCTTGCCTTCGGAGACTCCGCCCTCGGATATTCCGCCCCCGAATGCCTATTTAGGTAAACAGGTACACCATAATGGGGCAGTATATACTGTAGCCTCTTTTGATGGGAAGACGAAAACATACACAATAAGCTCAGTTGCCAAAGTTAAGAAAGAGAAATTAGAAGTTCAAAGAAAAGAAGGATCGACAAGAGCAGGTGGACAAGGGAAACGCGCTGGACCTGGAAAGCAACTTGAGTAGAATATCATTGCGGGGCAATCTACCAGATGACTTGGAAGGGCATGTGGGCTTGAGTTGATGAAGTTGGCTGTGAATGTGCTCTCAAATAAATATACTACGAATACTTTAAGTCTATATTAATTAATATATTGTTATGATCAAAATATATCTGTATACTCATACACGCTAAAACACAACAAGCGACAGTGTACCGCATTCCGATATCTAGATTGACATCCAGTTTTAGTAAATATCAGATCTCAAGTGGGCGCAATTATTTCTTTATTTTTCATGCGCTTCAGAGGAAACTTTACGCCGAGTATATTAAATTAAAGATATGCTGTCGTATCTATACTAGATGGCGTTCGTCGAATCGCCATATTGCTATAGTATAAGTAATATATTCATAATTTTTGTCGCCTTATAACATGCTACATTCGATATGTGCAAAAAGGAGGACTCTCAATGGATACGTGTTCGACTTTGGAGGCCGCCGATAACAGAGATAGAGGTACTACATGCACGCAGAGGTAGATGCAACAACCCGATGCATTCTCGAGGTGGCGTAACGCGAGGCCAATGGGAGACCGAGAGTATCTACGGATAAAGCGCGCACAGGATTATCTTGATGTTACCATCCGATACCCCTCACTCAACAGACTGTCGGCGATGCAAGTCTGAGCTAGAATGGAAGTAGCAGTCTGCGCGAATGTTGGTGTGACAATACATGTAGCGTTAATTTGCGTAAAGGCGTCCGCAACAGTGCCCCTTGTATGACTATTCACGCCGCTTTGAGCGATACATGCATGCTCGTTAAACATCATGCCCATTGTCCAGTGTAACCTCGGTCATTCACCGATCTTTGGGCAGCATATCAGCATGTATTTCCTTAGGTTACGGCAACTTATCTGCCACTATACGGTCCCCAGATATAGGTGTGAGGCTGGATTATTGCCCTGAGTAAAGCGGAGACTTCCGAGTACTAGATAATCTAGATCTCACTAGATGACCCTCGTTATTTAGACGTATGTAACCTTGATTAAACTATATATGGACTATATGTGATCAGATGCGGCCCATTCAGTTATATTAGTGTTGTCTCGTTAAACTACAGTCAGCGAATATGGCTATAATTAACCAGTTAGTCCAAGACATCGACTTTTTTGTAGGCCATCTAGATAGACTGCGCTCATAATCCGATTAAGCCTGATCAAGCCATCTATCGCACTAAAGCGCTATAATCGGATCAAAAACAGTCCAATGTCTGTACGAGGCCTGCACTGTGTGCATTCCATTTGCAAAATGCGTTTTGTCTTGCTGCGGGAGAATTGCAAAAGTCTACAGCTAGTTATCACTCCACATTAGTTGCGACTAATAACTCATAATGGCCCGAAGTGCAATGCCTAACCAATTTATATGTCTGACCGAAGCGTTGCAGGTTTCTCCTTTGGGATGTATAAACTCTACTAGCACAGATGCTAACGCATACTGTATCGGCTTTAATCTCACACCTTACAGCGGGAGAAATTCTCGCCAGGTAGCGTAGGTAATTGGAATTGTCGAGTATTATGTGAGTCAACTTGTATCTGCTGTCTTTGCATCACTTCCATATGCTTGTAAAACATTTTGTTACTACAGGGACCATAATTACTACATGTGCTAGACTAAGAATAGAAAGGCGATTGTTACAAGAGATGAGTGCGTTACACGCCAGCTGTGCTCAATTTTCAAGGATACAACTTAGGCGATATACATCATAATGATTATCTCCAATGTAATAATTTACCTAATGGAATAAAGTAGTCTTTCATTTAATCAGGCTATCATATATCAAGTGAGGCGTCTATATGAACGCCTCGTATGACGTGACAGTCAATCTGATGGCCGGCGGGGAAACAAATGCGCCATGTTTCTTGAGCTTTTTGATGATATGTGCCATTCGCCACACGCCCGGATAGCTCGCACAAGACGAGCCCGGCAAACCTACATCACGGCAGCGTACGAGGTTGGTAAGTCTGTTTAGAGCAATTATTATCAGTTTTGAGACATCATTGATGAGAGAAATGAAGAGTATCACGTCCCATCAATTCTTGTTTCAAGTGCTGCCTGATACATTTGTAAAAGAAAAAGTCTACCCAGGGAAGTTGGTGATGTCACCTCTATCCTCGCTATCCCGGCGACGAATTGCAACATGAAGAGAAGTGTCATAAATGCAAAGTTTCACTAACAAAGCATAAGATATTGTGGCAGCTTGTATATAACTTTGATTAGTTCACAAGCAATTGCGGGATTCCACTTTTGCCCGAGATGGCGGCGACATAAGAAAATAAAGGCTTCATTGTCTATGAAGCACGCTTTATTATAGCATGAGCTGTCAGTTTATTTTTGGGTTACGCTAGCAAACTAGAGCAGTTCGCTAAGCAGATGGCAGGTCCGGTTATCCGCTATCCGTGGATAGCGTAGCGCTCCACTTCATTGTCTCTCCACGATCTTGACTTCATGTTTTATACTCGGTCTTGATCTTTCACCTCGCCTTGACTAGCTCACATTTCACTTCTACTACTGGGATATAAGCAGCGCCTGGCGAAGTGACGTAAGTGAGCTGAGGAAAAAAGTATCTTGAACAAAGCTACAGCTAGCTTGCGGCTAAGGTTGCTGGAAGGAAAAAAAGTCAGCTTATACTCCTCATAAGCGGATCGACTACTGTCCGATGTCAAGCGAAGTCTATTGCTAGCTGACACTTCGAAGCTGTAAAGAAGTGAAAAGTCAATTTACATTTAGCAAGTATGATGCTGATCATCGTAAAACGTATATCACCTGTTTTCTATATAAACGGCTCTTCATCTCACTCAAAGCACTCAAAGCCAACAATACCTCAACAAACAGAATAACTCTTTAATTACAACTATCAACTCAAACTCAAAACTCTACCAAAATGCGTTCTGCAATCGCCCTCTTCCCCCTCCTTGCTCTTGCGTCCGCAGCTCCCCCTTCCCATAATGCAGGCAAGGTTACAGTGCAACTTTCAAACGACGTCTCTGGAGCAAACGGCGACGCGTCCATTCCTCTTGATGGAACTCCTGTGGACGTTGGCCGAGCTTTTGGAAACTCCAATCTGTTCAAAAACGGCAAACTACTCGTTACCAGCATTTTCTTCGTTGCCAATTTCCAAAATGTCGACTGCAAAGTGGTGAGAAATAGAGTTCAGCAGGTCGCCAACATCTTCGACCCATCAAAGGACTTTGAGAGATTTGCTCAGCAGCCTGTGGACTGGGAGCACGGCTTCACAATTTCCTGTACCAAGCATTAATATTTCCAAAGCTGAGGGCTTGGAAGGGATCTTAGACGGAGGGTCGATTTCTTCGGTCTTTTAATATGGTACGACTCAACCACAAATATGTGCCCACGCAATAATACATTTGTGCATACGGAGCAATGCTGGGTCATTGGAGCCAAAAGTGGAAGCATTTACATCAATTGTTAATTAGTCTCTCCTTATAGTAATATATAGGCCTATATTATTATTATTTCACTCATTGATATAGAAAATACAACCACGTTTAAACGTTGTGTGTGTGGTCGTTTACACGCCTGTGATTATCTCCTTTTGATCTCCCTTCAACTATAAGATTTGCGCACTTGTTATGGCGTGGCTGCTACGTGGAAGGCAGAGAGACCATAAAATCCATTGTCCTACCTACTTAAAGCCATGATAGTCCTCTATGCGGCCGAATACAGCTCTGTAGAGCATGAAAGCGCTTTTCATGCTAGGATCCTGACAAATTTTACCCACCTAAAGTATGAGCATACTTCTTTCTTACTATAATGGGTATTAACTAATTTATTTGTGCTAGTGGTTAATCGACAGTAGACTGTAGTTCTAATTACTGATATACTTTCTACCAACTCCACCTTTGCTAATGCCCTTACGTATCTAGATTAGCTACCTAAGTTTCGCTTGTCCCAAGTTGCTTATATTATTCGGCGGATTGAAGTACGCGAGTCGATCCCTTCCGTGCCAACTTAGAAACACCAGATCTAAAGCTCCGTCACGAGTATCCGGGTGCAACGTGAACTGTTAATTGTAAATATTATATAGGCAGAAATTAGCATGATGGGTAAATAGGCTTGGAGTAAATCTGAGAGGGATTATGTGACTTCTGAGTTGGAAGATCTCCGTCCCCCAACAAACAACGAACTTCACAGTCAGACTATTATATCTCTATTTTTAGTATTACAGGTTTGCGCAAAAAGGACTCACGGACATTGTGTGATAAAATCGCGATATATAGAAGAGTTCTTGAGTATATTATAAAAATTAGGCATGCAAGACACGTCGCCAAGTTCTGTGTTCACTTCAATGCAGTGTCTAATCTGCTTTGACAAACTGCCAAGTAGTCAATATATGCTGTCGCAACACCACATCATCCGAACCTTCGACGACGCCCACTTTCTTAAGCGTATGCCACCAATGTGGCATTAGCAACTCATAGCCCCCTTCAGGATGCTTCCTCACGGTCATAAGCTCCCAAGCTTCATGGTGGAGTGCTGCGGAGTGCAGCTTATCATCATCTTTGTGGCCTATAAAGTTGCCTGTTTGAGAATTGACAAAGCCAAAATACCCATTCTTTTCGACGCATAGCCATGTGTGTTGTTGGAAATGGTCTTCGTTGAAGTCATGGACGTAGAGGCCGCCCGAGTTATTCGTGCATATTGCCCGGTTCGTACCGTTTATAAAAATGTTGTATTTATTACCCGGCCAAGGTACCGCATATGGCCGACCGTCCCAGACATCGCCGAAAACGGTCTCGGTTGGTGTGAATTGGGTAAATGCGGTAGACGAGTCATCGGTATAGTCGTCCATGACTGTCTTATTAGCAAAACGAACACAATTTCTTATGCAATGTCGGTTGTCTACCTTGTGTAAATGCTAGCCAGGCTTTAAACCAGACTTTATAAGCCCACATTGCGGTTTCCACAGGGCGCATATCTACAGATGGTGCTGGGATAGTCAAAGAAAATAAGAATAATACTTCAATTGGTAGGATGCAAAGTGAGGGGAATGAGATTGGGAGTTGACCGCAGACGGAAGAATACGCGTATATATTAGGCGGTTGTTTATGCAACTTCGCAGTGTCAAACCACGTCATACATGTACCTGTATGTCATTATTATACTCAGAATTAGTCTTTGAACTGCATTCAATTGTGATAGGGCTTTTTTTTACATGTAGTCTGTTAACGGCTTTCCTCTCTTCCCTTTGCGATCTGCTCGGCTATCATCTGATTCTGGCCGTCTACAATCCTGCCGCTCTTCACTTGTCACTAGCGCTGATGGAAGCCCAACAGCGGATTCAGACCCCCAAGCCATTCATGTTCTCAGCGGCCATGCTCAGCCACAGGTGCTGGTTTCAATAAGAGAATGGAAACCCCTTTACTGCTGCATTTCACTGACAAAGCAGCTTACAACAGCTTTTAACCAGCCATCATGGTCAACACTGGGAGATCCAAAGGCTGCAACACCTGCAAGAGGCGAAAGGTCAAATGCGACGAGGGCAAGCCAGGATGCCAGCGCTGTATACGCTTTGGTCGTGAATGTGAAGGTTACGGCCAAAGACCGCCGCGAGTGAGATTCGCCAACGATGTGAGAAAAACCAACGAGAGAGACTCGCAGAATCAGCGGCGCATAGATGCTCTGGCATCGCGTATTTCTACTTCTACTTCAACTCAGCCAACCATCATTCCACCGCCAACGCCGAACAAGAAAGATGCTGCGCTGTCCTTCTTCCTCACCCAATTCGCCACCTTGGGCCGCAGCGCCGCATCGTCGACGGGCTTCTTTGAGGTGCTGCCTCTTGTGCTCTCTGGCGAGCGCCACGACTCGGCCGCGTCTCTTGCGCTGTCAGCAGTCTCCATCGCCATGTTCGAGCGGTGGCTGGGATTCGGCAGCAGGCCTGGAGCGTCGCGGAAGTCGTTTGCCGATGCCATCGTGCGCCTTCAAACGGCAATTGCGGACCCAGCCGAGTGTCTCAGCAGAGCTACTGTCGTGGCTGCTCTGACTCTTCAATTTCACGACAACGTCTGCGCATTGTTGGAATCAAATGGCATCAATCGAACTCACCATGACGGCTCTGTGGCTTTGCTCCGGCATCAGGAGCAGGAGAGTAAACGGCCGCGGAGGCGCACTTCCTTGGCGTTTCACGTCCTGCATGCTGAAGTAGCATTTGCAATTCGCGAAAAGAGAAGCCTGCCGGCCACCGAAATCTCTTGGCTTCAGTATCACAACGATTCTCTTAATCCAAGTTCGCTGCTCGACATTATTGGCATTGATGTCGCGAATATCCAACACGAGTTCTTCAACGCGCGTTTGTCTAGTTCATCTATAGAAGAGAAGCTATCGGAATTATTCGCCAAAGCCGCAATCGTCGACACGAGGCTCAAAGCATGGGTCGGTGGTGTCCCAGTTCATTGGCAGCCAGAGCCATTCGATCATATGCCGCACTGCAGCCCTCCAATAATATCGTATTCTCAAACCTTTGACATCTATCGATCCGTGCAAATCGCTTCAATTTGGAATATCTGGAGAATCTATCGCATAATCACGCTCAAAATATTGCTTGAGTGTCTTGAACTAAGTACCGGCAGTTTAGAGCTCTCAGATAATACTCGCCCGTTCATCCGAGAAAGTACCCAGCAGATGGTCGACCTTATTTGCAGAAGCGTCCCTTTCTTCTTAGGAAATCGCACCCATATGGCAACACTCTACGACTTCACTGACTCGAACATTTTCCTCCCAAGCCATCATCACCTCAGAGCCAGAAACGAGCCTCTTGATCATCGAAATGACGGCGAATTTTGGAGCCAGGATGACCATTTTAAACACGTCATTTCCCAAGGGCCTTGGCATATGTTGATTCCACTCAGCCAGCTCATGGGCATTTTCTCACAGAACCACGGTTCATCATTTGCTCAGCTACTGGAAGTAGAAAGGCATCAATGGATTCGAGGGCAAATTATGCGAGCGCGTACTATTATGGGCTCAGAAATCGGTAATTACACTGCTGGAGGTATTTACGCTGACAATAGTATGGGCTAATGCATTTTGTAATATTAGTTGCATCTCCCAACTTGGCCATTAGCCTAAAATGCCCTTGAAAAAGCTGAACTGAAATTTATTCTGACATGTATTGACGTGCCTAACTGCCAATGTCATTAAGTTTTTGGGTATAACTAGAAAAATGATTTCGACAACAACACAAAGCAAGCAAAAAGGCATATATCTAACAATACTTCTTTCCCACAATATAAGCGACATCGAAATTAAACACATTTTGAGCGTGTTACTTGTTCTTCACAAACTGTTGGAGGCACGTCTCACTTGTGAGCCATGCCAAGCTCGATATTGTCGTTACCATTCACTATGGTCACCATGCTGGCTGCAACGTATTTCTGCTCCGGTACGGTCTGGCTGAACATCAAACCTGGGTGGCCGAAGCATAGTGCCACAACAGCCAGTGCAATAAGTACGCCTTCAATCACGATAAATGGTACTTGATCATGGAATAGTGCACTGTCGTAGCCTGCTTGAAGCTCTGCCACACGATACGCACACCGGGCCAGTATCAACACTATCGCGACCGTCAAGCCGCCAAAAAATGTAGCAAAGCGCCATCTAGAAACCGCTTGTCCTTGAGACTGCCGCCGTCCAGAGCGAATATACCTAATCATGTAGTCGGCAAACGCAGCACTGAAGATGACCAACACAATGACTTGCAGCACGAGTCCGGCCATTGAAACATTAACGCCAATGTTGCCCGTCAATATGGTTGACAGGGCACCTCCTGCGGCCTGCAGCGCAAGGCATATAATATCGAGAGGAATGAAGATGTAAAAAAAGAGTTTAGGGTTGACTCGTGATAGTTCCGGCCCGAAGAAGTTGATCGTCTTGGATAGTGTAACGTATATAGAACCCGTGAAGAAGACCGGAGCGGTGGTCAGGCAGACTGCAGCAATGGTTGGACTTGTTAGCTTATGCAATCGTTCAACACTTTTTTAACTATAGCTTACCAATGTCTATCATGAATCCTGGAAATGAAAAGGGGTTGTTCCATAACATGATGCGACCAATATAACCGATAATCTCACTTGCACAGCCCAGCAGCATGCCGACCATGAAGCCCCAGCTCTTCCACCGCCAGCCAAGATAAACATGTACCAGGGCTACAGCTCCGAAGTAGGCAGCAAAGAAGATGTTGGCGGCGAGCCATGGCCTGTAGGCAAGTATGCTCTCCTCGACGGCGCAAACACTCAAGGTGCAGTTTGCATCAGCGCCAATGGCGATATAGTTTGGTTGAGTTCCCGGATTGGCCATGGAGCCAATGATAGATGCAAGTGAAATGCCTCTGAAGCTTTTCAAGCAGCTGGGACAAGGAGGTCACTGTCTAATGGGTTGTGGGTGATGTGCGCGTGGTGGGGAGGGAAAGCGAAGAAACCTGGTATAGCCACGGGACGAAGAATAGGGCAGAGCAAAGAGTTAATAGGTATCTTATAACAGAAGAAGACTGCAAGAATTTTCATTTAATCACAGAGACCATCGCGGACTTTATGTACGTACATTCAAAGCGCTCCCATACTTTCACCAGTCCATTAATAGATGGAGCATCTAGTACAGTAGATTTATCATCGTTTCAGTAGCTTGCGTATTTTCTGCGAAGCCACTCTCTTTTGACCCAATAAAACGCCCATTTTTTCAGCTGGAAAGACATAAAGTCTCTGCCAAGCTCATATCAAAGCCGAATTGAGTCTCATCACCAATGAAGTGGATGTCAGGTTGCGACTTGCACTAATACAAATCAAGCAATCGAGTTGCGAGCCGAAGACTCCGCTCGCAATCTAGTATTAAGCTTACTGCATACAATGCAGATACGCAAGCCTCATTTGATAGACGTAGTTATGGGGCTTTAATTAGTCAAGAACTCTCTCGCAACTCTCGTGGCGATCTTGCAAGGCCTTCGCAAACGCCGCGCAATCGCTCACTTGTAGTACTTGAATCCTTTCTCGCAAAAAGTGTGGCTGTATTCAAACGTCAGCATGCGGTCCACTTACGGGTATGAATGCTGGGAAAGGGGAAGGAAAAGGAGAGTGTCGATAACTTTACGCAATGGCAGTGTTGGAGAATTGCGAGTACGAGTTAGATATAAAAGTAGGTGAAAGAGTCGAGTTAGAATCAGTGCAGACATCACACTTCATCAGCTCTATTTAAAGAAAGCACCAAGTCTACTACACCTAACTATACGCGCAGAACTCGATGGCGCCCTTTCATACAACTACTAATCTTCTTGCTCTGGTATTTGCCAGCAGCTATCTCGTTCAAGCTTCGGGCGATTTGCCAGCAAGCTTTGGACCTCCTCCCGACTCAGATCCTCTTACTTGGGGCTTCTATGCTACTCATGAGGTCCAAACACCAACGCACTTGAGGATCACTGGATCTATCCCGAGCTGGTTGACCGGATCTCTCTATCGCGGAGCTGCAGCAACTTGGGATGTCGGAAACTATACTGCAGAGCATTGGTTTGACGGCTTTAGTCGCAATCACCTCTTTCAGATCGCAGATGGTTCCGTCACATACCGTAGCCGCAACGCAAGTGATGAATTGATGCACTTCATCCAAGAAACGGGACTCTTTCCCGGCAATACCTTCGGAAGCGATCCATGCAAGATCATCTTCAGCGCATTTGAGACCACTTACAGAGACGGGACAAACGCACGCGGGAATACGACTACTTCAAACGTCCCTGTGTCCTACATTTCCAACTTTCCTGGTCTCAACCGCAACTCTAGCAATGTGGGCAGCCCTCTCAATACGCTGGTATCTACCACAGATGCCAACAGACTCCAGCAGATTGACCCAGTCACTTTGGAGGCTATCGAACTGTTTACATACCAGGCTTCTAACCCGCTGTTGAGCGATTCGGGTCATACATGCGCACATCCGGCAATGACAGAGGAAGCAATCTACAACTATCTGCTCGATACGTCCGCCAAACCTCCTGTCTATCGTGTTTTCGGTATTACATCGCCTGAAGGAGAGACGAAGATAATTGCCAACATCACCGACGCACCACCTGCTTACATTCACTCCATGTTTCACACTGAGCAGCATGTGATTCTAATTGTCTGGCAAGCCGACTTCACAAAAGCTGGAGAAAATGTTTTGACTAGTATTGGACCCTGGAATCCTGAGCGAAAGACTCTATTCTACGTGATTGATCCTGTCAATGGAGGCGTCGTCTCCAAATACGAATCTGAGGATGCCTTCTTTGCCTTTCATGAGATTAATTCTTTCGAGGACGCCTCTGGAAACATTTACATTGATTTGCCAACCATGCCGGATTACAGCTTTCTTGATGCTGCCCTCGTGGAAAATTTACGAGCAAACCTCGGCAGCAAGACCAATGCCTCGTCTAAGAATGACCTGGCTGGCTCGTTTACTCGCTACAAGCTTCCATTCCACGAGAACAACAAAGCTTCCAACGGGTCGCTCATCACGTATACCGCAACCATTGATATACAGTTGCCTTACAAAAAAGCGAATATTGAGCTCCCTCGCATTAATGAGGATATGAAGGGCAGGCCTTACCGCTATGCTTATGGCATCCACGTCGAGAAGATTGGCTACTTTGCCGATTCAATCATCAAGATCGATACAAAGACACAATCATGGAAAATTTGGTCACCCAAGACAAAACAATTGCCATCGGAGCCTATCTTCATAGCACGTCCGGGAGCCAAGACGGAAGATGACGGCGTTTTGTTGACGGTGGCGATGGATTCGGCGGAGAAAAAGAGCTCTTTGGTAGTTATTGATGCCATCACCATGAAGGAGATTGGTCGAGCTCATATGCCAATTGTTATGGGCTACGGGTTTCATGGGGCTTATCAGGCAGAACTATGAGGCAGCTGCTTCATGCGACGTCGAATGAGTGACAAGGAAAATAACACAGCGAGTGAAGAAATTATGTGTAGCTCTACTGCCTATGCTGTTCATATTCTCGCCACATCCTGCTATCTCAAGTGAATAATTGCTCGCAATTACTGTTATTTCCTTCAGCTGTTAGAATTGAAAATCTTATTTATAATCTCAAAACGGATCTCAAAATCTCTCAAAATCCTTTTTCCTTTGCCCTCTCGATCCACGAATGGATTGTACTACTCGCACGTTTGTCTACCAAAACGCAACATCAGCAACGGTGACATAATATTCACGAGTAGAGGAATCTGTACCCTGAGGACGTTACAATAATCACGAGTGCAATTTATATGTCCATGACGCTATATCTGGCTTCTCTAAATACAGTTATTGCTTCCTTTCATCTATTAAGCCGTTGCGGCTGAAATAGCGCACAGTTACTCAACTTCAGCGACTAGGAAATACATCTGCGGGAATATCTGCCCTTATAACTGGTCCGAGATATGACTCATAGTCATCAGGATTAGTCTCATTGCCATTCCACTTCAACGCGCGACCAAGAGGTCGATAATCTCCCGAGGTGATGTTGTAAGTTACGCCATTGTTCGATAGCGTCGGAGAAGTGAAGAAATAATAGAAACCAGTCGCGGAAGACCCTCTAACGTCAGTCAGATTGTATTCCTTTATTGTGCCATACGTTGGTACACCAAGGAAGCCAGGCAAGATGGGCTGCGGCGTGTCTTGGTAGTCAATCTTGACGGAGGGATCAAAACCATAGATGGTCGGGACAAAAGTGGTGTTAGCGGGGACGAGTTCGTAGAGGATGTGTTTCGACGGCAAACCGATATCTATCCTTAAGAAGGGGATGATAGATTCCGAGGCATTTGCTTTCCAATGATATGTGTCGATGTTCGGTGTAGTTGCCTTGGCCGAGAAGACGTTTTGCTGATCGCCTGGAGCAGACAAGACCTGCGGACTAGCGTAAGGTATTGTTGTCGTGGCATTCTGTGTTATCGGGCCAACAGCGTCTCTGCTGTATGGCAATCCCATATATGGAATCGAGTAGACATTGTTATCGCTTGAAATCCTAATGAATCCACTATAGACGGGCGTCGAGTACGGATACTTGTCCGGTTGGGGTGTAATATGCACTGTAATAGTGGTTGATTC